CACAATAGAGATAGCCTGGGGGGGAGGGTGAACACATTCAAATCCTCCTCCAGATAAGGATGAATGTAAATATCTCATCTCAGTGTGACAAGTTTCTGGAAATCTAACTGGAGTTTAATAAATCACTGGCAAAGATTCTCAATGAGGAAGCAGATGCCCTTCACATCATACAGGCCCAAACTAGTTTGTACCGCATTTCTTAAATGTTAGAAATCTTCAAGGGCAGTTGGTTTAGCCCTGACACTGAAGACAAAAAAAAAAAAAAAGATAGAAACATCATTGGGATGTGTACAATGAGGGGCAGGGGAGATAGCTTGAAAGGGTTGAAGCACAAGCCCGGCATGTAAGGACTTGGGTTAGATTCCTAGAACCACCAGAGTACCCAGTGGCCCCCAGTACTGGGTGAAACATTACCAGGAAGAGCCTTGTGAGCCCCTGGGTACTGCCTGGAAGACAACCCAATCCCTACAAAAAGTAAAGAAAAAGAAAGAGAATGTGTACAAGTGAAAAAGTTAAAAGCATACGGATTCAACAGTGATTCCTTTGATGTTAGATTCTGGATGCATGCAGTGATTTAAGTACCAAGTCTAATAGAATTATGTCAAGTCTGCTTCCAAGACAGTGTTTTTGCTGACACCCATGCTTTTGAAATGCCCAGGAGAAACTCTACTCTTCCTCTGGAGTGTCAGTGCCATCTAGCGGCATATTCCTTCCCTCTGCCAGACAGGGTGGGGACTACTCCACACCCCTGGGTGGTGTAGACCTCAGGTTGCCAGGAGACAGTTTTTGCTAAACTTGCCTTGATGGGCAATGGCCTGCCCTGACAGTGCCAAGTGATGCTAGAATGTGAATGCATTGCCCACAAGTTCTGCAAAGTGCCATGCTGCATTCCTGTCACAAAAACACTGCTGAGGGACCTGAAGATGTCACTCAACGGGAAGACATACCTTGAGCTTTGAAGGCTCATTACTTGTTTTTGTGCCAAACCCAGGAATGCCTGGGGATTGGGATTCAAACCAGGGTCATGGACATACCACATACTAAGTATCTCCTTACCCTTTGTACTACTTCTTTGGCCGTTAATATTATTTTGCCCACTTTTTTGTTTTGGGGTCATACCTGGTGGTGCTCAAGGACTACTTCCAGTGGTGCCCAGGGCCGAACCTAGGGCTCTGTGTGCAAAGTATTTACATTATCAAATTAAGTCATCTCTTCAATCCAGGGCTCAACAGTTTTAAGGCAGTACCTTCCTTAAACTTCCTGACAAATTATGTGATTCTAGTAAAAATGCCCCTGTGCCTTGTTACTGTGTCAGAATCTCCACATTAAAAAGAAAAATGGCCTCTCTGCAGTCTTTACAGACCAACTTTATACGGAGGAAAACCTTCACCCATGACCTGGCATAGATTCTGAGTCCCCTCAAACCTTTGTGTAGATGTGTCTCATGTGAATATATGTGCACAATTCTCTAGCCCCTCCTTCCCCCTTATAAAAACAACAACAACAACAACAACAACAACAACAAACCACTTAGGTTTTTGGCAGAGTCTCCTGTCCCGATGCCTGGCTGTCCTCACGGGGGCCCCTTGGAGGGGGCAGGTTGAGTTTCTCTCCCCTCCCTGAGCAGAGACCCAGCAGCTGAGGACCTCTAGCACTGAGCCACAGTCATGCTCAAAACCACTTCCCACATGCTCGGATGAGCTTCACGCAAGAAGGAATGGCAGAAGAACCCAGGTGTGTGGGACCTGGGGCTGAGATCTCCAAGCCTGCTTGGATCAGGACTGGCCCTCCTCTACCAAGGTCCCCCATCTTTTCAAGTAGGTAGACAGTTACACCCATCAACTGCAACCGGCACCATGTAATTCCATCAATGGCCAAGATCCAGAGACTGTAAATAAAACCAAGCTCCCGAAAGACCTCTTATTGTCTAGTTCTCACTCTTGGAGAACCCGGCCGGTTACCGAGAATATCCTGCCCCATGGCAGAGTCTGGCAAGCTTCCCATGGCGTATTCAATACGCCAAAACCCAGTAACAATTATGGGTCTCATTCCCCTCACCCTGAAAGAGCCGCCAATGTGGCACTTGCTAAAATCTCAGTGCTAGGACGAATGGAGACGTTACTGCTGTCTGCTTGAGAAAATTGATGAAGGACAGGATGACAGTGATACAGTGATACTTAGGTTTTGCTGAGGTGGCTTTCTTTGAGACATTCATGCGGTCTCCTGCTCCCTCTAGCGTTTCTATATAGTTCTGCAGATATTCTGGAGCTGCACTAACCGCCCTGGCACCTCCTTGTTTTTTGTTTTCAGATGCTTCAAGGCCTCCAGAACCTTTAGCTTCTGTAAACTGTATATTGCAACCACACAGTTGTTTTTTTTTTTTTCAGTAGGAGTACTGTTATTTATTCAGCTACTGGTTAGCTGATTGTGCATGAACTCCACCTTACTTTTTTTTTTTTTTATAATTTTATTTATTGAATCACTGTGAAAGCAGTTACAAAGCTTTCGGGTCTAAGTCTCGGTCATACAATGAAACACCCATACCTTCACCAGTGCCCATTCTCCACCCCCAACAACCCCAGTATACCCCCATCCCACACCCTCCACCACCTGTGGGGCAGATGATTTCCACATTACTCTCTCTCTACTTTGATCACATTCAGTGTCTTGACACCAGACCCACCATTATTATTTGGGATTTACCCCAACACTCAGATCTGCTGAAAAGGCAACAGTAGACAATTTGTTTTCTATTGCTGGTTATGAATAACATATGATGTCGCATGGCTGCCGTAGTGGCCGCGTGATTTTGAAATTCCAAAATTTTAACACTTAAATCTGAAGGGATTTCTGCCAAAACCTGCTGGGCTCCAAGGTTTGCTCCTGAGTCTCTGGGATCATGGCCGTTAAGCAGCTTGATCAGGAGCCAGAAAGGCCGTTCGTGAGCGACGACTTGGGGTCTCGTTGGGGTGGGTAGGACAGGACCGGCTCCACCCCCATCCTGTGAGGCCCAAAATGTCTCATCACTGTGGGCCCAAACCTGACTGTCCAATAGCCTCTGAAGGATGATGGCCACTGAGCCACCAGGGGGAAGCAGGCGGATGGACAACACCTTTTCCCCCCTGGGGTGGCCCGGCAACAGTAACCTACTGTGGGGTTTGACGCATTTCTGCCAAAAGCCGCTGGGTCTCGAGATTTGTTTCTGAGTCTCTGGGATCATGGCCGTTAAGCAGTTTGATCAGGAGCCAGAGAGGCCATTCGTGGAGGATGACTTGGGATCTTGTTGGGATGGGGAGGACAGGACCGGCTCCACCCCCATCCCGTGAGGCCCAACAAGTTTTGTCACTGCGGGCCCAAGCCTGACTGTCCAATGGCCTCTGGAGGATGGCACCCACCAAGCCACCAAGGGGAAACAGGCGGAGGGACAGCACCCTTTACCCCCTGGGGTGGCCCGGCGACAGTAACCTACTGCGGGGTCCAGACACATTTCTGCCAAAAGCCACTGGATTTTGAGATTTGTTTCTGAGTCTCTGGGATCATGGCTATTAAGCAGTTTGATCAGGAGCCAGAGAGACCGTTCGTGGGCAATGACTTGGGGTCTCGTTGGGGTGGGGAGGACAGGACCGGCTCCACCCCCATCCCATGAGGCCCTGCGTATTTCATCACTGCGGGCCCAAATCTGACTGTCCAATGGCCTCTGAAGGATGACAGCCACCGAGCCGCCAGGGGGAAGCAGGCGGAGGCACAACACTCTTTCCCTCCTGGGGTGGCCCGGCGACAGTAACCTACTGTGGGGTTTGACGCATTTCTGCCAAAAGCAACTGGGTTTCGAGATTTGAGTCTCTGAGATCATGGCCGTTAAGCAGCTTGATCAGGAGCCAGAGAGGCCGTTCATGGGCGATGACTTGGGGTCTCGTTGGGGTGGGGAGGACAGGACCGGCTCCACCTCCATCCCGTGAGGCCCTGTGTGTCTCGTCACTGGGGGCCCAAACCTGACTGTCCAGTGGCCTCTGGAGGGTGGTGGCCACCGGGCCGCCAGGGGTAACAGGCCAAGGCATGAAACCTATTCCCACCTGGAGTGGCCCAGCACCGGTAATCTACTGCAGAGATCGGACGCATTTCTGCCAAAAGCTGCTGGGTTTTGAGATTTGTTTCTGAGTCTCTGGGATCATGGCCATTAAGCAGTTCAATCAGGAATCAAAGAGGCCATGCCTCCAATTATATAGCTGAGCCAGAGGTGGTTTGTGGGTGTGTCTCCCATATACCTAACTTTTGGCCGTTTACTTTCTTGGTAAATTTTGCCCCAAGTTTTTGGAGTCTGGCCAAAGGCACAGCAGCAATTTTGGGGTATCTGGAAGTCTGAAGGAGCCATCAGGTAGCTGATGCACTCACCTCACAGGTACAGATTGACCTGCTGGCGGCACCATACCCCTACAGCTGGTTTCTTAACTGAATGTGGGGGTGGTGAAAAAAATTGGCAGCAGTTAAAAATTCAAAATTACAACAGCGCAAGGAATCTAAGGTGCTTCCAGCAGCACTCGTGTGTGTGTGTTGCATTCTTGCCTCTCTCGGCCAAAGAGAGTTCAAAGGGCTGAGCACATACACTGCATTATCTCTGGTAAACTGCAGGGATACCACATACACCCACCATTAAGCTTTGTAACAGCAGGGTGTGTGTGAGAGCACATACTTGAGTGCATGTGGATACCCGTGGATGCACACAGGATAGCTGAGCATCACAAGATGGGGAAAAGAGCAAGAAAAACACTGGCACAGAGGAAAAAAACCAAAACAACCGAAAACCCCTCACAATTTCCATGACTGTATCCACCCTAATATGCAGAAAAGTGTAACAAAGGGACCGAGAGTTCTGGACTCGCAATCAGGTTCCCAGCACTTATGAAGAAACACATTGACATCCTCTCACAGGTCAGCATATAGAAAACCAGAGGGAGAGCCCGTGGCGCCAGAACTCAAACATAAAACACCTGGCTCCCTACCTTTCGGCATCGAGGATTAGGACAACTGAATCTCTTCACATCACTGTCCAACAGAGCAGGAAAGCTACAGGAAGGACACCTGGAGTCAAAAACAAGAGAAAAAAATGTTACTCATAATACTAAAGTTTGAGGGCTGGAGCAATAGTACAGTGGGGTGTTTGCCTTGCATGAGGCCTACCCGAGTTCAATCCTCAGCATTCTGTATGATCCCCCGAGCACCGCCAGGAATAATTCCTGAGTGCAGAGCCAGGAGTAACCCCTGAGCACAACTGAGTGTGACCCAAAAAGCAAGCAACCAAACAAACAAACAGGAAAAACTAAAGTTTGATTTGACTCCATGTGATTGCTGAGACTAAGATGGACCTTTTTTCCAGACAATATATCGCTTTTCTTTTTTCAGGTTTTACGGTCACACTCAGGAGTAAGCTCAGGGCTTACTTCTGGCTCTGGCGGGGCTCAGAACCATATGGGATGCCAGGGATCGAACCCACTATACTAATACTATGGTTCCTAAACAATCATATAGCTTTTGTTTTTTGCTTTTTGTTTTGGAGCCACACCCAGCAGTTCTCCGGGCTTACTTCTAATTCTACACTCAGAGTGTGAGGCCCAAAAACAGGCTCCTCAGAAGCCATGACAAGCTATAGCTAACATTAAGTCTCTACCAGGTCTCAGTTTCTGTTTCCCCAAAGCAGGACTTGCAATTTCTGGTAAACTCCCAGTTGAGTAATTTGCCAAGATAAGGAATCGGGCAGCTGGGTCTGGTCGGTCATGAAGAGTCAACTGTGCCCTCCTTAGAAACTGTTGCTAACCATTACCTAATTTCTTTCTTTCTTTCTTTCTTTCTTTCTTTCTTTCTTTCTTTCTTTCTTTCTTTCTTTTTTTGGGGGGGTCACACCCAGCGATGCACAGGGGTCACTCTTGGCTCTGCACTCAGGAATTCCTCCTGGCGGTGCGTAGGGGACCACATGGGATGCTGGGAATCAAACCTGAGTCAGCCACGTGCAAGGCAAATGCCCCCCCCACTGTGCTATTGCTCCAGCCCTGTCATTGCCTAATTTCTGACCACCATTGCAATAGGGCCAATGATAAAAAAATAGATCAGTACAAATTGCTTTTTAACTCTGAACCCTATATAAACTGCTTGTGATTTGGAGTCGGGATCCTTGCCAAGACTCCACTGTGTTGGATGAGACTTGGACCCTAGCTTGAGCTAGTGCTGGCCTGGGCTACTAATATAGTTCCTTTACTTTTGCATTATCGTGTGTGGACTTGATCTCTCTGCAATTGGGGATCTGAAACACGGGCACAAGTACTGGGGGTCCATATGGGGTGCCAGAAATTGAACCAAGGTTGGCCACCCGCAAGGCAAGCACCCTACCCACTGTACTATTACTGTAACCTGACAATAGCATAACTTTTTAACCCTGGGTTGTTCGGGGGCAACAGCTGGCTGAGCATACGGACTACTCATTTCTTTGCTCTTTCTTTGCTCAGTGCTGGGGATTGAACTTGGGCATCCCGCATGCAAAGTATGTACTCAGCCCTTTGAGCTAATTTTCATGCTCCCCTTGGGTTTTTTAAATTTTGTTTTGGTACCATAACCAGTTTGGCTGGGGTTCTACTCAGGACTCAGTGCCTGGAGGTTGCTCCCTAAGTTGTCAAGGAGACTAAGTAGTACCAACAACCAAACCCAGGCCTCCTTCACAAAAAACCCTATGTTCCAGCTCTCTGCATCAACTCCACGGCTTCTTCTTTGGTTCTCTTGTATAAGTTTTTAAGGCCCAGTTACTACTCCATGGCTGGGGAGATAGCTCCAAGCCAAGTGCCTGAGTTCAATCCCAAGCACCATGAAACCAACCATCAATAAATAGACCGAGGCTCCCTTCCAAGGGTTTTCACAGGAGACTGTAGATGCCAGTCTAGGCCTCAATGCAAACCACTCCCTAAATACCTATCCCCTAACTTCCTGAACATACCCTTAACATATCTCTCTGCTAAAATCTGCTAAAATACTATACAATGGTAGTCCTTATAAGACAGATGATTAAGAGGTGCTAAAGAATGCAGGTAAAAATATAAGCAGCAGCTTTTTTCATTAATAAAACTGCTCACATGAGGCCAGGGTGATAGTATAGTGGGTAATACATTTGCCTTGCACATGGGCAAGCAAGGCTGGATGCTTGGCATCCCATATGGTCCCCTGAGCAGGGTCACAAGGCAGAGCCAGAAGTAACTCCTGAGCATCAACAGGTGTGGCCCCAAAACAAAAACAAACAACAACAAAAAACAAACTGTCCTCTTGTTCAACAGCAAGTAATACCAGAAAATCCAAGAGCCCTGAAGATGTTCCTTCAAGTGCCCGGGAAGTTTCCCCAAAGGGAAAGAACTGATGGCAGATACCCTCCAACTCTGAACACACCTGACAAGCTCATCAGCATAGGCTGCAGCAACTTCTTCTTCAGCTTTCCGCTCATAGTATTTGCCCAGAATGGCCTGGGGTAGCACCTTTTCCAGCTCGCTGGTCGGGAAAGAACATGTGCAGCTGCCTTCCATGCAGCTAAGCTCTGACTAGATCAGGGAGCAAGGGCAAGAAAAGAAAATGTCAACCAAGTTTTCAGGAAAACAGTCTCATGGTTAAATATATATTTCAGTGTTAGAAAAATAAAAATAATGCTTAAGGGCCAGAGTGATAGTACAAAGGTAGCGTTTGCCTTGCACACAGCCAACCCAGGTTCAATCCCCGGCATTCCATATGGTCTCCCAAGTTCTGCAAGGAGTAATCCTGAGTGAAGAGCCAGGAGTAACCTCAGCATTTCTGGGTATGACCCAAAAAGCCAAAGAAAAAATACAGTGCTTAAGAACTCAGATTTTGAGGATGCAGCGATACTATGGCAGGTAGGGGCACTTGCCCTGTGTGTGGCCAACCTACATTCAATCCCTGACACCGCATATTTTCCCCCAAGCACTGCCAGGAGTGATCCCTGAGCACAGAATCAGAAATAAACTTTGAGCACCAATGTGGCCCCTCCACCCAAAAAATAGAAACTTAGGATTTTGAGATGAGAAAGGTCTCTCAGTCCCTTTTAGAAACCATACTTAAAAAAAAAAAAAAGAAACTAAGGCTGGAGTGACAGCACAGTGGGTAAAGGTGTTTGCCTTGTACACGGCCGACCTAGGTTTGATCTCCAGCATCCCATATGGTCCCCTGAGCACCGCCAGGAGTAATTCCTGAGAGCATGAGCCAGGAGTAATCCCTGTGCAACGCCGGGTGTGACCCAAAAAGAAAAAAAAAAGAAAAAGAAAAAGAAAACCAGGATACAAAACTCCATGATACTATCAGAAAATCCCTGTTAGTATCCACAAAGATGGAAAGTAGATGTAGAAGGGAAAACGCAGGGAGGAGGAAGGTCACAGCACAATGTCTGAACAGTAATCAGCCATGGCCCCTGATTCCCTGAGCACTACATAAGGATTCCCTCCAACCCCAAATATATTCCTTTCTCACTGCTTTAGACTAGCGGTAACAAATGACTTGAATAGAATAGAGAACATTTTGCAAGTATAATCCAATTATAAATATTTTGTAAATCTATTTTTACAACAGAGATTATGAAACTCCCCTACACTCAAAGATGCTGCCAGGTGCCATCTCTGATTCTCTCCTTAATTCTCATTATAAACAGGAAGGTAAGTGAGGGACTCCATGCCCCTGCAGAGCAGGTGCAGCAGTATAGGAGAATGATCCTATTCCAGGATAGGGAATCTGCTGTGCTCTGCAGCTATGAAGCACACACTGGGACTGTCTTGAATGTGTCTATATATATATATATATATGAATGAATGAGACCAGTTGTAGTTACTGGTTTTGGCATATCAAATACACGACGGATAGCTTGCCAGGCTCTTCCATGTGGGCGGAATACTCTCGGTAGCTTGCCAGTCTTTCCAAGAGGGATAGAGGCTTTTGGGGCGACCTCTAATCGCCCTTGTAGGTGTTACCATATTTGAACCCTATCAAATATGGTACGACAATTTCAGAAGATGGGTATTTAGTGTCTTATGATGTGTGTGGTTTGGCGCATGCCTCAGGCAACCGCAAGCTAACTGAGCTCGCAAAGCAGTGCAGAGATGCGATCAAGGAAGACCTCAAAGAGAGAAGAGCAGAAGTGCTGGTAGATGCGGCAGAAGCTGGGAAAAGTATTCGTAACGCCCGCCTGTCCTTCGCCAACTACAAGACCAAGATGACTGCCCTCTGACGTCCTGATGGATCCATCACATCCTCCAGAACGGCAATAGAGAAGATTATCCATGACTTCTACTCAAATCTCTTCGATAGCCATGTCCACTTGCTGACATACCAAATTCCACAGGATGGATATGTCGTTCCCAACGTTCTCCCTTCCGAAATTCGACACGCCATTTCGTTGGTAAAGAAGCAAACAGCACCTGGCCCAGACAAGGTCAGACCTGTACACCTGAAGAACCTGCCGTCAGTACTCATCAATACACTGGCTCGGCTCTTCACATGCTACCTGTCTGAACGCAAGGTTCCATCCCAATGGAAAACCAGCAGGACCGTACTACTGTTCAAGAAGGGAGACATCCATGACATTGGCAACTATCGCCCGATCTGCCTATTATCTGTCATCTACAAATTGTTCACTCGAGTCATCCTAAATAGGATTGGCAGAACACTAGATGAAGGACAACCATGTGAGCAAGCCGGTTTCCGAAAAGGATTCAGCACCATCGACCATATCCACACGATAACCAAGCTCACTGAGGTTTCTCGGGAGTTCAAGATGCCGCTCTGTCTAACGTTCATTGATTTAAAGAAGGCCTTTGATTCTGTTGAGACGGAAGCGGTCATTGAAGCCCTAGCCAATCAGGGCATTCAAGCCCAATACATCAGGATCCTCCGTGAGCTGTATTGCGGATTCACTACCAGGATCTCACCATTCTACAAAGAAGTGATCGTTGATGTCAAGAGAGGGGTTCGGCAGGGTGATACCATTTCACCGAAACTCTTCAGTGCCACCCTCGAGAACATCATGCGACGACTGGAATGGGAAGGAATGGGAGTGAAGATAGATGGTCGGCAACTACACCACCTCCGCTTTGCTGATGACATTGTTTTAATAACACCAAACATCAGCCAAGTGGCACAAATGCTGGCCGACTTTGACCGTGAGTGTGGAAAGGTAGGACTATAGCTGAATCTTACGAAGACAATGTTTATGAGAAACAGCTTCGTTCCTGATGCCCCATTCGCTCTCAACGGAACGACCATCTCCGAATGCAACAGCTATGTGTACCTAGGTCGAGAAGTCAACATGACAAATGACCTGGCACCCGAGCTGCGCAGGAGGAAGAGAGTGGCTTGAAACGCCTTCAAGAACGTCGAAGAAATAGCTAAGAAGACGAAGAACCTCCGGCTCCAGGCACATCTCTTTGATTCCACTGTTCTTCCTGCATTAACATATGCCTCAGAGACCTGGGCCCTACACAAACAGGATGAGAATGCTATTCAGGTCTCCCAAAGAAGAATAGAAAGAGCTATGCTTGGAATATCACGTTTCACTCAAACGAGAGAAAGAATCCGGAGTTCCGACATCTGTCGACGATCAAGAATCAAGGATGCTGTCTCATTTGCCAAGGTATCAAAAATCAGATGGGCTGGTCACGTAATGAGATTTAAAGATGACCGCTGGACTAGAGCTGTTACTGACTGGATTCCACGGGATGTCAAAAGACCGCGTAGCCGCCCACCTACCAGATGGTCAGACTTCTTCGTGAAGATCATGAACGATCGTTTTGAGGCTCTTCATGTTCCCAGAGCGAACAGATGCCATTGGGCTACACTAGCACGCGACAGGGACAAATGGAGACATTATTGGCGCCCGCTCGAGCAAATCGATGACTAACGGGAAGTTAAGTGATTAAGTGATTAGTGAAACTCTACCCCTCATTCCAGAAAAGGTACTTCTAGGAGATCTGACACTTATCGATAGGCACAGTGTCCTTAGACTCTGAATGCTTCCATATACGGACATATGCCCTCGTTCTTACCTTTCCAGATCCAAAGACCGCTTCCTGGGCATATCTGATGAGACACTCTTTGCAGAACAAGTGAGCATCTGCACACTGCGTCAGCTCCTCAAATGGAAATTCCCCATAGCAGCAACGGCACTCAATCAGCTGGCCATCCTGCAGGTCATCATAAATACAAAGGAAATTCTCTCTATTAAAGTAGAGGAGGCAGTCATGGCTCATATAACCCACAGCCACACTCAGTGAACTGAAAAGTAATCCTCAGAAGTCACGAAACAATGAACTGATGGGGCTGGAGCAATAGCACAACAAGTAGGGTGTTTGCCTTGCACGTGACCGACCCAAATTCAATTCCCAGCATCCCATATGGTCCCCTGAGCACCGCCAGGGGTAATTCCTGAGCACAGAGCCAGGAGTAAACCATGTGCATAGCCAGGTGTGACCCAAAAAGAAAAAAAAACTATAAAAAGACAGTGAAATTTTGTGCATTTGTTTTATAGAATCATATTTACTCAGTGGTGCCAACAAAATTTATTTCTGTAATCTGATGCTAATATGAGAAGAACTAAAGACAAGTAGCATTGAAGGATATTATCCAAAAACTTTAAAAGTTGGGTTCTTCTGGTCTCGTTTTAAGATAGGAATATAAAGAAACTTAAACTAAAGCTGAGTGTTCAGCTCAATCTTTATCTTAGAAGATCACTAAAGCTACAAAGAAATAACTTTCAGTCCAGGAGAGATATCTTTGTTTTATCAGTGGTTGATCCAATCATCAGTCCAATCCTATCAAGTTAGAAAAGGTCAAAAGTTACAAAAATAGCAGACATACCTCCTTCTAAGTGATGCATGAGTTCTAAATTTTTCTCTAAGAGTATACTCAACAGATTACCAGTGGTAATTTTTAATAAAATCATTTCTCTTACTAACTTCCCTTCGATTTCAATCCAAAACTAGTAACAAGTGACTGTATCTACTTCATGTTCTGATTTTACCTTGGTAAAACCACAAACTCTGATCATTAGATTATACAGAATTAATTTACCATCAAGATGCAAGAAAATAAAAGAAAAAAACTGCCCATGAAAATAATAGAATAAGTCATCAAACTACCTTTTGATACTGTTCTTCATTCATTTGCAGGGCAAGCAAAAAATCTTCATGCTGAGGAAAAAAACAAACATGAAGATAAAAATTTAGGAAATTAATTAAAATTAATGTCATTTGGAATTAATTCCCATAAAAATAAGAGAACTCTATTATCAATGGTCATCTTTAGATATCTTTGGTTGGAGTTTAGTAGCTTAGTAACCTGAAAATCTGGAAGAAAGTTAAATTTGGGGCAGGAGAAAAAGTATAGTAGGTAATCGTGCAACCAACCCAGGTATGAGATCCAGAATCATATATCCCTGAGCACCACCAGGAGTTATCCTGAGCACAGAGCCAGGAGTATGGTTCCAAAAACAAAAGAAAAGAGAAAGCTAAAGTAAAAAGAAAACCATAAAAATACTAGGGAGGGGCTGGAGTGATAGCACAGCAGATAGGGCATTTCCTTGCACACAGCCGACCCGGGTTCGATTCCCAGCATCCCATATGGTCCCCTGAGCACCACCAGGGGTAATTCCTGAGTGCAGAGCCAGGAGTATTCCTATGCATCGCCAGGTGTGACCCCAAAAGCCAAAAAAAAAAATACTAGGGAATATGGGGTAAAGTTTATTAGACCTGACCTTAGAAAGAGAAGGACTAAGAGAAAAGACTGACATAAAACATGAAACACTAGGGGGTATGGTGCCATCAGCAGATCAACCTGTACCTGCCAGGCGAGTGCATCAGCAGCCTAATGGTGCCTTCAGGCTTCCTGATTCCCCAAAATTGCCACTGTGCCTATGGCCAGACCCCAACAACTTGGGATCAAGTTTATCAAGAAAAGTTAGGTATGTGGGAGCCATACCCACAAATCACCTCTGGCTCAGCTATATAAGCTCATTTACTAACCTTATTTCAGAGACCCATAGATAAATCTCGAAAGAGATCCAAAGCCACAGTTAATCTCAGACCCACAAATGGCTGGACAGACTGGGGTAAATTGGAGAGAGGTGGCCCACCCAAGCAGAGCCCCAGCAGCCGCTTGCTTCCACAATCCAAAATCGCCACCATATCCCTGGCCTGACTCCATTGTCTCTGGATGGACCTCACCAAAATATAATCTGCTGAAAATTCTGGTATGCGGGTTCTGTGACTCAAATATCCAGGTTTTCTCAGAGTTGGACGGGCTACCTCCCCCCACTTCCAATACACATGAAAGCACTAGCAGTCACCCTCCCCCCTCCATGGACCAACTACAGCACCACCCTATAAGCTCTACTGCTGGCCTTGCTTCAGAGACCTCTAAAAAAGTCTCAAAATAGGTCAAAAGCAGCAGAAAAGCTCGGACCTGTGCATGGCTGAACAGACCAGGAAAAACTGGAGGGAGGCGGGTTGACCTGTGCTCACCCAAGCAGAGCCCCTAGCAGCCACTTGCTTCCACAATCCAAAATCACAGCCATACCCTCACAGCCTCAATCCGTTATCTCAGGATGGACCTCACCAAGATATAATCTGCTGAAAATTCTGTAATGTGAATCTTAGTGTGCCAACAGCCCTGGCCCAGAGACACAGCAGCGAGTACCGGAAGACATCACAGCGCCAGAGATCTCTCCAAAACCCAAACCAGGCCAATTTCACTGGGGCACCCCAGATAGAGCAGGCGCAGTCTCCCCTTCTACTCCTGATGGAATCCCAGTGACCAAGAGCTTCCACAAGCAAGGCCCAGATATGCAGGTTCCAGGACTGAATCTTCAGGCTGCATAGCAGCAGAGGACTCAGGCAGTCCCTTTCCCCCTCCCCCCCACCCCCAGCAGACTGGCTGTCACACCGACAATTTGCCTCTGGGCACACTAACAGCCCTGGCCCAGAAACTCCCAACTGAATCCCAAAATGTATTAGTGCCATACTCTCTAATGTCTCTGGAACCCAATCATTTACAATCTAGAAATTTACATTTACAATTGCGGCTCTGCAAGCTCTCATAATACGCAAAATGAGCAAAGGAAAATAAATAAATTATCTAGTATCTGGCCCTGGTAGGTAGGCTTGAATGATGGTGGGAAATTTCAAGCAAAACATAATGCCCAAAATTAGAGAGAGAGTATTGGGGAAATTATCTGCCATAGAGGCAGGATGAGGACTGGGATGTGGGTGGTTCAAAATGTGCACTGGTGGAGGGATGGGTGTTCCATCACTGTATGGCTGAATCTCAAACATGAAAGCTTTGTAACTCTATCTCACGGTGATACAATTTAAAAAAAAAATAACGTGGAGTTCATGCCCAACTCAATCAGCTTAATCAGTGGCTGAACAAATAATAGTACTCCTACAGTATTATAAAAAACAAACAAAAAAAACAGGAAATACTGTTGAGTAGCAAAAAGGAGCATAAGCAAAAAAAAAAAAATCAAATGGGTGAAAATCCAGTTCGACAACCTAAGTTCATTGGAAAGGCAAGCAGGGAAACAGGTGCTTAAATATTACCACTGAAAATGCAAAATAGTATGACCATTATAGAAAGAAATTTGGCCTTCTGACATAGTTTCTTAAGTACTTACTCTTTGATTCATCAATCCCACTTACAGAACCCATGTCAAAGATACCCTGGGACAGGGACTGGAGCACAGTGGGTAGGGCATTTGTCTTGCATGTGGCCGACCCGGGTTCAATTCCCTGCACCCCATATGGTCCCCTGAGCACTGCCAGGAATAATTGCTGAGTGCATGAACCAGGAGTAACCCCTGTGCAATGCCGAGTATGAACCAAAAAGCAAAAAAAAAAAAAGATACCCTGGGACAGAAATCTTAACTACACATAAGGAGATTCATCACTGCATATAAGTGGAAAGCACCTAAAATGACCATCATAGGGGAATAATTGAACCGACTCTGAATCAACACTAACCACCACCCAGGATCTCGGTACAGACAATGGAATACAAGGTGCTTCCAACAAGAGGCAAATCTGTACAGATAGTTGTGATTTTCAGGATGCACTGAAAAATGGGGGAAAAAATATCACTCCAGCCCCTGGTGGTTATTTTGCGCTCTGCATTCAGGAATCACTCCAGCATAGGGATGTCAGGGATGATCTGAGGCAGGCTCTGTGCAAGGCCCCACCCGCTGTACTCTCTCCAGTTCCTTATGAAACAGTTCTATAGCGATAGCACAGTGGTAGGGCATTTGCCTTGCACGTAGCCAACATGGCCGACCCGAGTTCGATTCCTCCGCCCCTCTAGGAAAGGCCGGCAAGCTACCGAGAGTATCTCACCCGCACGACAGAACCTGGCAAGCTACCCGTGATGTACCCGATATGCCAAACACAGTAACAACAAAGTCTCCAATGGAGATGTTACTGGGCCCGCTTGAGCAAATCGATGAACAACGGGAGGACAGTGACAGTGACAGTGACTGAGCACTAACCACCACCCAGAATCCCAGAAACATGATCAAGGCATAGCCACTGACCTACCTCAGCCATCTCTTTGACTTTCTGCTCATAGAACTCCTGCTCTTGCTGCACAGCTGGAAGGAGGGCACGTCGCTCATAGGACCTACAATGTCGCCGCTTGTTTTCCAGAAAGAACATTCTCTTCTCTATTTTTATGTTACCTAGGAAATATATGACAATGCAGGATCATGCAGAACATGGTTTGCTAGGACCCCAGGCAGCTGTTGAGTGGTCAGCTACCTTTCTCCTAGGTACATTTCAGGTGAGAGGACTGAGTGCCTCTCTCTTCCCTAAAAGTGCCTTTTAGGTCCTTTAGCCTTCTGCTGTGCTCCAACCGGAGGGCTTCTCCTATGTGTTACTAGGATTTGTAATCTGGGGCAATATAGGATTGCTAACATGTCTAGCACAGTCCTGCACACATGAAGCAGCTTCAGAAAATAGTGGCAGTCTTCTAAAGTGGCTGTACTAAACGATACTCCTTTCACCAGAAGCTGTGACTTCTTTTCACACTCCACATCCTTAATACCTGTTTTTTTCCCCCGCATCAGGATTCTGTGTCACAGCTGGCAATGCGCAGGGGACCACATGTGGTGCTGGTGATCAAGCCAGGGTCAGCTGGATAAACATCTTTCTGTACTATCTTTCCCCTGCGATATCATCAGTTTCAAATTTTAGTCATTCGGTTAGGTGCACATGTTTTATGTGTTTTATTTTTCAGTTTTTGGGGCCACAATCTGCAGCTTGGAGGTTACTCCTAGCTCAGGGGTTGCTCCTAGCAGTGATCATGGACCATGTAGTAAGGGGGGTTAAATTGTGGTTGGCCATGTGTAAAGCAAGTGCCTTAATCTCTATTTTCTCTCCAGTCTCACCCTGTATGTTAGCAATCCTTTTTTTCATTTTAGGAAATACCCCCAGCAATGCTCAGCCCAGCAATGCAGGCCTAACACCTGGATGGTGCTCAAGGGCTACCTGTGTCACACCAGCAGTGCTAGGAGAAGGTACATTGATGGAACTGACCTGAAGACTTCAAATGCTAGCCATGAACTTCTACCGTTTAAACTATTTTTTCCAGTCCAAAAATTTTCACTTTGAAAATCTCTAAACAGAAGATGGACAAACACTAACATTTATAAATACCATTAAAAAAAAAGGAAACAATAATAAATGTATCAGGTAACTGATCTGCTAAAATTTTTGCATTTCTTCTATTGATTTGTTAATTTACATTTTCAATAAAACTAGTCCACTGAAATGTTCAATTTAGTCACAAAAGTCTATTCTTCAGATTCCTTAGTTTTCAATTTATCAATATTTACTACGTTCATGATCCTTTTTCTTCTGTTCATTCGCAGTAACTTTTAAAAATATGAACCTAAGACAATTTCTGATTCTACACTCTAATCCAATTTTTTTATCTGTCCTACTAACAGAAACCAGGCTTACTCATTGTAGTAAGTCTTTTTTTTTTCCCTTTTTGGGTCACACCCAGTGATGCACAGGGGTTACTCCTGGCTCTGCACTCAGGAATTACCCCTAGTGATACTCAGGGGACCATGTGAGATGCTGGGAATCAAACCAGGGTTGGCCGAGAACAAGGCAAACACCCTACCTGCTGTGCTATCACTCCGGCCCCATAAACAGTAAGTCTTGAAGTCAAGTAGACAAATTTCTCCCACTTTATTTAAAATGTTTTTCTGTTTTGAGCCACACCCAGAGGTGCTCAGGGCTTAGTCCTGGTGGACTTGGAGTACCACATGGGGTGTTGACATCAAACCCAAGTTGGTCATGTTTTTTCCAACAAAAAGTGGAACCTGAACCTGAGTTACCTCATGTGCTAGAAAGCACAAGTTGTTACCAAAGCAACAGTTCAGCTGGTACTGTTTGCCTTGCCTGTGGCCAACCCAGGTACGATCCTGGTCACCTCATATAGTAACCCATGAAGAGTGATTCCTGAACACAAAGCCAGGAGTGAGTCCTGATCACTGAATCACTGATGTGAAAGGACCCCCAAAACAAATAAATAATAAAAACATAACCTAATATTATGATACATGGGGCAAAAGCAAGTAAAATGAAGTTGATAGGGGAAAATACATGATGCAAAAAAATCCTCAGATTTGGAACTTAAAAGAGTGGGTTCTGCAAGCAGCAAAATTTGTAAATCTACAACTGTCCTCATGGTGTTTTACTAATAAAAATTTAAACAAAATTAAAAAAAAAAGAGTCGGTTCTGGGGCAGAGTGACAGTACTGAAGGTAGAGAGCTTGCCTTGCATGCGCTGACATCATATGGTCCCCCAAGTCCCAACAGGAATGACCTGAGTGCAGAGCTAGAACCATAATTAAGCCCTGAGCACCACCAGGTGTGCCCCCCCCAAAAAACAAAAAGACATGGGGACGGAGAGAAAAAGAGATAACAGAATCTGAGACTTCTCAGAAACAAGAAAAAACCCAGACATTTTACAATGGAATATTTAGACTTTAAAGGAAGAACTGGGCCAGAGAGATAGTACAGCAGGGAGGGTGCCTGCTTTGCACGTGGCCAACCAGGTTCGATCCCCAGCATCCCATAAGGTCTCCTGAGCATGGTAAGGAATGATTCCTGAATGCGGAGTCAGGAGTAACCCCTGAGCATCTCCAGGTACAACCCAAATCCCAAAACAAAAACAAAGAGGGGGAAGGAAGAACTTCGTATAAAGTATGGCTGGTCACTAGGGAGTGGACCATTATTATAAACTGGTACTTTCTTTTCATTCCAAGTCAGAAAATGCTCTTGGGATGCCTTGTCAAAATTGTGGACACATTCAGCTGACTGAAGACCCACCTACGTAGTAGCCCTGCTTTCTGTCACATGGGAAGAGACTGTCATGTGAGTAGAGCACTGTTTCACAGACTCATGGAAGGTCTATAGGATACAGAGCGTACGAGCTTTCCTGCCAGGTCCTGAAAAGTTCAAATGCAAACACTTTTCAATTCTACAATTGCATGGATTTTTATTTAGTCACATCCAAAATCAGGCTATGTAATTAAAAACAGTGGTAATACATAAGAGGAAAGGACAAATTCCTATATATGTCAAAATCTATAGGCAATGGTTGTAGTGCACTTTTTTTGGACACAAGTAAATCTAATGCACAATCTACCAAATTTATCTTTTGGGATACGAACTGAAGTAGTTTTTTTTAAAAGGATTTCCCTCAACTATTTACTTAGAATAACAGAATTTAAAATGACAAGAGGATATTGAACTGCATTTCCTATGCAGAGCTGCTCACTGTGTGTACATGACCCTTCTGTAGTGAGCAAACCGACCTAGACAGTTTATACTCTAATAAGCTAACTCTTACCACACTGAGTTCCTTCCCATCCCCATGCCCAGCTTAAGAGCATTAACAACACTTTCCCTACAGATGAATCCTTTAACATGCATTAAGACTATCCTTTCTTATGTATCCTAAGAAGACAGCTATGGTCACTTGCTAACAGTGATGTGTTGTCAAAAAAGTCACATCAGAGTCACTCCATGGGCTACCTACAGCCAGTGCCTCAACTTCCCACACACCTGCGCAGAAAGAAGGTTCTACAAAGCATCTTCACACGCCATCAGCAACATTCACAATTTGCCATTACCTTGTTCAAATTTGAAATCTATGTAAGAATACTGATTCATTTCTTTTCTTTTTTTTCTTTTTCCACTGGTTTCTGGTGATAACTCCTGCCATTTTTTAATGGCATCGGAAAAGGCCTAAAAATTGAGAAAGGGAGAGGTTATCACTGAAAACAGGACAAAACAATAGGTGAAGCAGTCCCCAAATCTCATATGATTAATAATTTCTGCTACCTCCTGGGTAACCAAAAATAGGCAGTGGTTGGGGCCCGAGCAATAGCACAGTGGATAAGGCATTCGCCTTGCACACACGGCCAACCCAGGTTTGATCCCTGCACTTGATATGGTCCCCAAGTCCTGTCCCAAGTGATCCCTGAGTGCAGAGTCAGAAGTACTGAGCACTACTGGGTGTGGCCCCAAAATAAGCAAACAAAAAAGAATAGGATTGCTCTCTTAAACTTTATAAATTATAACATACAGTGGCAGGATCAAAATGCTAACAAATGAAATGGTGAGCTATAAAAATAGAAACTAAGTTGAGGTAAGTACAGGTTAAATTACATTACAAATGTCTTAGGAGTTATACTCAGTCATTTCTACATGACACTTCTCTGTTCTACACTCCACCTTCCATTTTCCACTAACTTCCTCCCTCAATTTTCCTCTTTGCTTTTACCTATATTCTCTGAGAACTGCTTACTTGGGCTCAAAATTCTTACCCTAGTGATAATCATTTCCCTTCATATCTTTAGGACTCCTTTCTGTTTTGTAAAAGTTTAACAATTAGAATTTTTTTTTCTTTCTGGGTCACACCCAGCCATGCACAGGGATAACTCCTAGCTCTGTGCTCAGGAATTACTCCTGGTGGTGCTCCGGAGACCATAGGGGATGCTGGGAATCAAACCTGGTTCGGCCATGTGCAAGGGAAATGCCCTACCTGCTGTGATATCGCTCCAGCCCCTACAATTAGAATTTAAACATGCTCAAGTTGACCATCTTAAATACAGAAAACCCCTGTCCTTTCAGCTACAAGCCTTCTTCCTTCCTGCCCCCAGTAGTCAAAATAGCCTAAGGCCCTGTCTGCAAATGCTTTCCAACTGTACACTAACCTGGTCTAATGCCACTCCTTCTCTTGCAAATCTTAATAATTGCTACAGTATATTCTGACCTCTCCAGTAACCTAACACTGCCTGCTCCGTTCTCCCAGCCTTCTCCTGGCCTGCCGCCCTTGCCTGGCTTGGTCTTTACACATGCAGAGTCATGAGAGCAGCGCCTCCCCCGCCCCCCACCCACCCCTGCACAGTGGGGCCACAGATGCTAAGGACTCAAATATTCTTTCTCCAGTCTATTTTCCACCTTTTTTTCTCCACTCAGCCACCCAAAGCCTGTTTCTATTTGCATGTTCTACAGGTTCTACCCAGCATGTTGGCAATCTGATGTTCCCCAGGCTGAAACTTATAGGTTTTTTTCCCCTTCTATAGTACTTCTCACTAGAAAATGATATCACAATCTGTGCCCTACTTACCTTGCTCCTATCTGCTTTGCATCATTTATGTTTGTAATCAAAGTCACTTGCTCAGAGATACCCTCCTGGAACCTTTGACTCTAACCTTGGTATACCCATCAGACTTCCAAAAGCACTTTACAATTTCCTTTCCTATTATTTAGCACAGATTTGTGTACTTATCTACTTGCTTGGCTCTGTTTCACTTCAGTTCCTGAACTAGGATGTGAACCCAAAAAAGAGAAAATAGTTACACAGCACATGGTGGATGCCAGCAAGTTGCAACATCAGTGTCTTAAACTCATTTGTTAACTAAAAGTTGAAGGGATGTGTCTTTATTAAGAGAATGTTGACAAATCATTCTGAGCATATTCTTTTTGTTTTCTGGGCCACACCCAGCCCAGGCGTTACGTTACTCCTGGTTATATAGTTAGGCAGGGCTTGAGGGACCATATGGGGTGCTGGAAATTGAACATAGGTTAGTTGTGTGCAAGGCAAGAATCCTACTCACTGTATACTATAGCTCTGGCCCCTAAATTTTATTCTTAAAAAAATATATATTTGTATAGGTCCTGACACCACATCAGGCTATTTTCACCAGGGCAACTTGGAAGGGGGCGGGTTGAGTTTCTCTCCCCACTCCAGCAGAACCCTGGCAGCTGAAAACTTCCAGAACTCAACCGCAGCCATGCTTAAGGTTGCTCTCACGGGCTCGGATGAGCCTTACCTACAGGGAACCTGCAGAAAATCCCAGGTACAAGGGGCCCGTAAATAAGATCTCCAAACTCACTTGGAGCAGGACTGGGCCTTCTCCCACGAGCTCCCAAGTTTTCCAGTAACTTGGCAGTCACACCCACAAACTGTCCCTGCCATATAATCTCATCAATGGCCAAGAAGAGAGTGACATAGGCCTTACCCATGAGTGAATCTGCTCTTAATCATATTCTAAATTTCAGAATTCCTGGACCTCTCATACTATAGCCCACTGATGGACCAAAAGTAGCACACATTGATTTGGGTTTAACACCAGGGTTTAAATGGCTCCAGGATGAAATACAACAATCCTTACACACTCTTACGGAGTAGGAAGGTGCGCGGTGGTGGGACTGGTGTTTGAATATTAAATGGAAAGAATTATTGTGAACAACTTTATAAAAATAAAATAAGAAAAAAAAAAGCATATTCCCAGGATCCATGGTAATGAAAGAAAACTTTTCAGTGTGCCTGGCGCGACAGCACAGCAGGAATGGCGTTTGCCTTGCACGTGGCCGACCCGGGTTCGATTCCCAGCATCCCACATGGTCCCCTGAGCACCACCAGGAGTAATTCCTGAGTGCAAAGCCAGGAGTAACCCCTGTGCATCGCCAGGTGTGACCCAAAAAGCAAAAAAAAAAAAAAACAAAAACAAAAAAAAAAACCAACAAAAAAACTTTTTAGCTAGCGAAGAGAAAAATATCACTCTTTCTCTGAATGTATAATCATTTGCTACATACACCTACTATGTGCTGAATACAACACAGACCTTCCTACTCATGACCTCTCCTTCACACAGGCCCTTGGAGGAAGGTTTTGTGGTTACTGAGTAGTGGGATGCAAGGCCTAGAAGAAATGGAAAGGTTTCCTACTCAAACTTGAATGCTAGGATTTCAACTCAGGCCATTCCCAGAATCAAAATTCCTGACATCACCTTGTTCTCACAGGTAGATTTATACAATCTGGCTGTGCTTGCACAGCCTAGAACAGCCACATGCAAAGCAAGCATCCTATGTACTGTACTATCTCTCCGGCCCCCAAACTGCACTCTGGATTCTCAAAATTAACACGTGAAGTGGGTATCTGAGTAGTGCAAGTAAGCACAGTAGAGGGAGAAGTGACAGGAACTGCAAAAGGAAAAATGATTCTTGAGTGCATGTTGTTCCTCTTGGTTGAATTTTTGAGTATTTGTGGTAGTTATCAGATTTGACCATGAGAATACAGGCATCAGAAAACAGCAAATTCATTTCCTTCCAAAGAGCTTTCATTCTGGTTGAGATTTTCTTAATGATTTAATGATTTTTTAATGATTAAAATGATTCTGGTTGAGATTTTTTTAATGATTAAAACATTATGAAGTAAATTTGTCAATGCCTGCCAAGGGTACAGGCTTGTGAGGTGGGTGGGAAACAGGGACATTAGTGAGAAAGGTGACACTGGTGGTGGAATTGGTGTGGGAATACGGAATGCCCGAATGACTGAAACAACTACATTATGAATAACTCTGTAAATCAGTCTTCGAAGAAATTTCTTTTTAATGTAATTTGGAAATATTTTTAGAACTTCTGAGTGATCAATATTTCTTTTAGAGATGGTTTAAAGATACTACAATGGACACTTCAGGATGTAAAATCAGGAGTGGAAAGGGATTCAAGTCTCTCAGAGAAATAGATCAGAACTAGGCAGAGCTACCTCTATAGAGACAGAGGTGACAAAGAACACAGGAAGAGAAATCTACAGGTGTGAGAGTGGACACCCTCAGAATGACACTGGAGAATAATAGAGAAGTTGAGGAAAGGTGAGAAAAGACAGCTTTGGGGCCAGAGCGATCACATAGCCAGTAAGGCATTTGCCTTGCATACAGCCTTGCATACAGCCAACCTGGGTTCAATCCCTGGCATCCCATATGGTCACCTGATCCTTGCCAGGAGTAATTCCTGAATGCAGAGCCAGGAGTAACCCCAGAGCATCGCCGAGTGCGAACCAAAAAGCAAAAATAAATATAAAAGACAGCTTCTGTTAATCTCCATGAGAAAAGGAACCCTGTTTTGCTCACCCCAGCATTCCCAATGCATGGACCTGTAGGGAGTCAACAGTTGTCTAAAATAAAGGAGGGAATCACATCTGTAACACCATAACTGAGAAAATTTGGAGTTGAAAACAATTTTCAACCCAGTGAAACTATCCTCCAATCCTAAAAGAATCAAGACAGAAAATAATCAGAATATCAAGAGATGGATCTTTGTGAAAGACAAAGGAATTTCCAAGATGATGAAGAAGACAAAGTCTGTGGACAACAGCTATACAAAGAACAATCAAATATGGCTGGAAGGCTCTGGGGAAAAGGAAAGATTAACTGACAGGTTTGGTAATTGCAGAACCATAATGAGAGCTGTATTTCAGAGTTGTCTCTAATGTATGGAAAGATAGCCATAGTAAAAAAAACCAACCAAATAAACAAAAACCAAAGAAACCAAAACAAGTAAAAAAAAAATAAGGTCACTAATTTTAACTCTTAAGAAACATCAAAGATTCAGGAAAGGAAACATTATCATAGTATAAGACTTGACTTAGCAGTATTTCCATTCTTTTTTTTTTCTTTCTGCTTTTTGGTCACACCCAGCGATGCAAAGGGGATACTCCTGGATCTGCACTCAGGAATTACTCCTGGCGATGTTCAGGGGATCATATGGGATGCTGGGAATCGACCCAGGTCGGCCGCATGCAAGGCAAACACCTTACCCACTGCACTATCGCTCCAGCCTCAGTATTTTCATTCTTAAAATGAAAATTCTAGAAATTGACTCAACAAAAATTAAAAAAAAAAAAGATGGTGGAATCAAAAAGATAGTATAGTGGTAAAGCTGATTTGCCTTGCATATGGTTGACTTGTGTTCAATTCCCTTCACCACATATGGTCACTGTGAGGAGCGATTCCTGTACAAACACCAGAAGTAAGCTTTGAACACGGCCTGGTGGGTGCCCCTTCACCTCAAAAAAAAAAAAAAAAAAAAAAAAAAAGAAGTGTGCAAGGGTATGTGTAAGATCTAAAACTCCATCTACCCAATGTTGACAGCACTCCTGTCCCTGTAGAGCTGCAGTGAGGTCCTTAGAGGCTTGCCCAAAGGCTCTATTCATAAAGAGCTGAGCTAGGCCGAAGAGATAGTTTATTGGGAGGACTTTTGCCTTGCACACAACCTGGTGCACCCCATCTGGTTCCCCAAGCCCTGTCAGGAGCAATCCCTTAGCAAAGAGCCAGGAATAAGCCCTAAGCACCACTAGGTGTGGCTCAAAAATGTTTATTTAAAATAAAAAACAAGGAAGAAAGAATTGAGCTACAATAATTTATAACAAAAAGCTAAATGTGACTTCTCACAGTGAGCATGCTTCCTGTAAACTGCCATGCTTGGACAGTGTCTCAGAAAAGAGAAGCTACTATTACCTTTGTAAAGTATATATAAGAGGAAAAGGTGAGCTGCCCAAATGGCAGAAACTGTACACAATTAGGGCTGGAGCAATAGTACAGGGGGTAGGGTATTTGCCTTGCACACAGCCAACCCACATTGTTTTTACTTCTCATCTGGGTTTCCTTGGAGCTAAGAAATAAAGGCACAAGGAGAATAACAATAAAAGATGTTAGACTAGTCTGGAATAAAAGAGGCCTTTCTTATGGTTATTAATTTTGGGGGATATTTCACTTATTTTTCAATGACAGTAGAAGACTACTTTTTTAGCATTGAAATAACCTTTAAAGTAACAGGCACCAATTGTTCTTTTCAGAGTAGTTCAGCCTAAATTTAATCTATATTAGGCCTTTGCTGACAAGCTGTTGGATCTTCCTTGCCATTCAGATGGTGGATAGGACCTGGACCCAGCATACAGTTACATTCACCTGAGATCTGCATCACTTCAGTTAAACCAAATAGGCATTTTAGCCATTAACAGTAATTCCCCATTTGTTTGTCCTCTGTAAGACAGTAAACTGCTGGGCTTCAGAAATTGAGCAGGAGAAAGGGACTTGATGGCAGAAGACTAAGAGGAGCCACACAAGGACCTGTAGGAGCTCTTACTTTTCTAGCTGGCTTGAGCACTGTGAAGTAGGCACTGAGCACAAACTGCACTGAATCAGGTATGTCAGTTACCCACCAGTGACCACCCTTCTGAGTCATGGAACATGCCCCCCAAAACCACAGAAGGGTCCCCATATAGAATCATATTTAGGGCTCTGGAGGTGGAGGAATCAAACACTGGCAGTATTCAGCCAGTATTCAGTAGCCATTCACTCCCTTCTTAGGCAAATCACCACTCACTGCGTTGCCAGTACTTTTCATGGATACTATAGGCTTTTAACTCAGTATCATTAAAATCCAGTCTGGGGAAGAGGCTGTTCGAGACTTGTCAGAACTTAAATCTGCAACCTACTGGTGTTATTTCATGCTTAGATCTGACCGAAAGCAAGAGGAACTGAGAAAGCACTCCCCCCAAGTAACACAGGCTAGTTTCCCAAGCTTTACATTCTCAGAGAATTGGTGCTGCCTCTATGATCCAACAAATACAAAGCATCCTTTCACACCTGCAACCCTCAAAGCACAGGTCCAGAGCTGGAGGGGTGGGGGAAGAAATACTGCCCACACTTGGAAACATGGTTGAGCTGATTACTTCTAAATGTAACTTTCCTGGGAGCCAAAGCAATAGTACAGTGGATAGGGTATTTAACCAGGTTCGCTCTCCAGTATCCCATAAGGTCCCCTGAGCACTGCCAGGAAGTAGTTCCTGAGCGCAGAGCCAGGAGTAAGTCCTGAGCATCACTGGCTGTAGCCCCCAAACGAAACAAAACCAAAGTAATTTTTCTTTCTGTTTTTGGGCCACACCTGGCAATGCTGGGTTTACTCTTGGCAAGGTAGATTCCTTACCCATTCTACTATATCTCCAGCCCCCAAAGTCAATTTTAAGGGCTGGAGCGGTAGTACAGTGGATAGGGTGTTTGCCTTGCATAAGGCCAACTTGGGTTCAATTCCCAGCATCCCATATGGTCCCCTGAGCACAGCCAGGAGTAATTCCTGAGTGCAGAGCCAGCAGCAGCCCCTAAGCAGCGCCGGGTGTGACCCAAAAAGCAAATAAAATTTAAAGGCATTTTTAAGATTGTACATACAGGAGCTGATGACTTACCACCTGGGAGGATTGGGACTGCCCCAAACAGAAAGAAAATCAGGAAGAAACAGCATAGGAACATAGACATGTTTCATCCACTAGCCATCAGCCACCCCAGGATCCAGGTAAACTTCAGTACCCTCCATGTCTTTATGGGAAAACCAGAATTTCCTTGCATCTAATCTCACTTCTTTACATTCTGTTGTTACTGATCAGAAAATCCCTTTGGTCTACTTATCTTCACCCTGACAAACTTCTTGGTTCTTTGTCATCATAAACCTTCCAAAATTCTGCAGACTGAACTCTTCATTCTGCTATCATGGCAAGAAGTATTCTAGAGTGGCCCAACCAAGAAGAACAAGTTGAGCACCTTTCGGGTGATTGCATAGTGTCCTTTGAGCTCATGCAGGGCCCACTTGATGTCCTGACTGCTGAGCATTTTGAAGTCGGCCATCAGGAGGTCAGCAGCTTGGATGAAGCAGCGTTGGTCAAGGGGAGCCAATTTTGAATAGTCAAAGAAATCTATCTTAGGCAGCTGAAATGAGAAAGAGGCACAGTATTAGAGGGCCAGAAGGAGCATTTCCCAAGCAGAAAATGATCAGAAGGACTTCTTATTAAAGACTGGCATGATTTCATTTATTCTCATAACTACATTGTAAGAATACCAGCTCTGAATAAAGATGAAGAAAACTGCCTGGAGACTATTTTATAAACTAGAACTACTAAACAAATATAGTGCTGGAGGGACTGGAGAGGAAACAGTGGGATAGAGCACTAGCCTTGTCCAAATTCCTGGCATTCCATATGGTCCCCTGAACCCTGCCAAAAGTGAAACCTGACGGCAGAGTGAGAAGTTCAGAGCATTGCTGGGTGTGCCCCACCCCCACAAAAAGAAATTCTCACTGGAGATTCAGAGATTTGAATGTCATCTTTCAGACGTCACTCTTCACTTAGAATGAACTTGTCCTGCTATAGACTACGTCAAATAGCTAGTAAAAAGAATTTGGGGGATAGAAGGATCAAGCAATAGCCTTTAATGAAGCAGTTCTAAATCATATTTTATTTTTGTCTTTTTATTGGGGAGAGGAGCATACCCAGTAATGCTCAGGGCTTAATATTGGCTCTGGGCTCAGGACCACACAGAGTGCTGGGAATCAAACTGAACCCTGGTCGACTGCATGCAAGGCAAGTGCCCTATTCCACTTAACTATCACTCCAGCCCCCATATATATATATTTTTTTAACCACATAACACAGAATATGCTTGTGTGGATCACAATGAAGTAATACTTAAAAATTAAAATTAAGTATCTTTTTCGTTTTTTTTGACAGTGCACTACACTTTGCTGTGCTCAGGGTTTACTCTTGGCTTTGCACTCAAAGATCACTGCTTGGGGGGTCCCATACAGGGTGTTGGGGGGTGAACAGATCCACCTCATGCAAGGCAAGTGTACCATCTCTCTGGCCCTCAAACAGTTTGTAACTTGATAAGGCATTTGGTTATGTCTTTGTGTGTGAGTGACATCGGGAATTGAACCCAGGGCCTCACACAGGCACAGCACTGCTCTACCGTTGAGCTGCATGTTCAGCCTCAGGGATCTGGTTCCGTAGGCACAACATGAACCCAACACCAAAAGAAAACTATAATGGATAATCAACTCTAGGTAACCTTGACAATTAACTTTTTAAAAAGTGTGTGTGAGGGGAAGAGGGCCTGGAGTGATAGTATAGTAAGTAGAGCATTTGCCTTCCACGTAGTGGACCTGGATTTGTTCAAACCCTGGCACCCCATATGGTTTCCTAAGTCTACTGGGAGTGACCCCTGAGCAGAGCCAGTAATAAACCCTGAGTATTACTAGGTGTGGTCCAAAAACAAAATGAAAAAATAAAGAAAAGGTATTGGGGGATGCACACTAGCAGTGCTCAGAAGTTTTTCCTGGCTTTGTGCTCTGGAGTGACTCCTCCAGTGTTTTGGGGACCTTAGGTAATGCCAGGAATTCAAACTGGGGTATGTTGCTTGAGAGGCAAGTGCTTTAACCTCTGTACTGACTTTTCAGCCGCGTAACAGAAATTACTAAAGGGACAGTGCATTGATGATTTGAAATTTACTCTAAATCAATCATGATGAAATACAGAAGCTGTGCTGATAGAGAGAAGGATGGATATGTGACAAAGTAGATACTGTGGAAATAAATTTAAAAAAAATTTCTTTTTTGGCGTCACACCCAGCAATACTCAGGGGGACCATATGGGATGCCAAGAATCAAACCTAGGTAGGCTGCGTGCAAGGCAAATGCCCTCCCTACTTGTCCAATCTCTCCAGCTCTGTGGAAATAAATTTTTAATAGTACTGCTGGATGAGGAGATTGCTCAAATGGCTAACAAAGTCTTCAAATTGACCTTTGGCATCATATGGCCCCTGTGTACTGACACATGTTGACTTGGTAACCCTCTACCACTGCTTTGAAATCCTCTCCAAAAGTACTGCTGGTAGATATCCAAGTGGTCTGTACAAAATTTCATAAACTTTGAGGTTTTTATTTATTTATTTATTTGCTTTTTGGGTCACACCCAGTGATGCACAGGGATTACTCCTGGCTCTGCACTCAGGAGTTACTCCTGGCGGTGCTCAGGGGACCATATGGGATGCTGGGAATCAAACCCGGGGTTGGCCGCGTGCAAGGCAAACGCCCTACCCACTATGCTATCTCTCCAGCCCTGAGGTTTTATTTTAAAAATAATTTTTTTTTTGGTGGCGGGGAATACATGAGGCTGTGCTCAGGGCTTATTCCTGGCTCTGCACTCAGAGATCACTCCTGGTAGGCTCAGGAGACCATGTATGGTGCCAAGGACCAAACCCAGATCAGCTGTGGCAAGGCAAGTACCCTACCCACTATATCATCTCTCCAGACCTGTTTTTAAATTTTTCATTATAAAAAACTCTAAATCAATATATCTCCAGAATACTGGAGAACTCTTGTAACATTCCACAAACTTAATGTGGAGGATTATAGCTACTGAGGATGGTGTCTTAAATGCAGAGGTTCTGGGCTCAATGCCCAACACCAAAAACTTGATTCCTCCCTCCCAAGAATGTGATGTGTGACTCCCACATCAATGCGGGCATGGGGGAGAACAGAAAAATTTAATTCTTTATGGAAAAAGGAAAAAAGATACAATGAAAGTAATACAGGATTTAAAGTGGCCGGAATTGAGAACTTCCACTAAGGACATACTGATGCTGAAATTCAGTTTTTCCAGCTATCCTAAAAAATTGAGTCCCTCCAAAGCACCTTCTTCCACCAAAGATGATTAATCAAACAGAGTATTTCAAGATAAGAACTATACAACTGGAGTACACACTTGCCTTTGTCTCATCCTGGCTGGCAAGCAGGCTGCTACTGGGGTTCATAATGACTCTATCTTCTCTCTTTGGATAATCTGGGTTTTCCAGAAGAAAATTACAAAGTCTGCAAAAACAAATGACATTACCATTGTACTGCTTACATTGTACTGTCCATTGATTCAGGCGCAATGTTGGGGAAAAAAAGTATCTGGTCAGAATTGACAATTGATCTATCAAGAAATTAAAATGTCTGTAGATCAGAAACGCAAAAAAAGCTAATTACAATACATTTTTTATTTTGTCTGCTAAGTTTAAAATGGTGGTAGATATGGTGCAGCAAATGTATGTCTAAACCATTACTAGCAACAGCCTTGATAAATCATACCTTAAAATTTTTTTAACTAGAAAAATAAAAATACTGATAAATGGGACACAGAGCTGTAGTGCAGTGGCTTAGGGTGACACCCTTGCAAGTTTATGAACACAAGTTCAAATTCCGTGTGTTCAACACATGTTAAATTCAATCCAAGTAGTTCTTCTGTCTTAAATTGCCAAAAGTGTGACTTGTGGATATACCACATTTGGGTCTAGATTAAACCCAGGCTGGTCACAGGCAAGGCAAATGCCCTATTCGCTCCAGCCTCAAGAACCCCAGTGGATTTTTAGGGTGTTTCCTTCTTTCCTTAGTTTTCTTTTCTTATCATTTCTTTCATGCCAGGTCTCTTCTACCCAGTGTCAATGATGAAGCTTCTATTAGTAGAAGCTTCTATTAGTAAAGTAGTTACAATAGGAAAAGAAGAGAGAAAAGTACCCATTCTAAGAGTCAGAAAGGAGCACAGGAGGTAAGGCAAGTGCCTTGCATGTGCTGATACCACTTAGAAAAAATTCCCATTCTAAGTTTCTTTTCTCACCCAGGGGCTATCATAAGCTACCCTGGCTTCGACATGGGACAGCCTAAGGGCATGATATGGGACAGCCTAAGGGCATGATAAAAGAGCACAGACATGACCTAAAAGGAAGTAACTGAAAAGGACCCTATTGTGGTTAGACAAGCTAACCTGGCCTGAAGACTATAGTCCGGGAAATATAGCCAGATGTCCCCAGGAAAAGTCATGCTTTACTGTGAGTCCAGAGAGACCATCTTAAGCTTAATCCAGGGTATAAATAAGGGTCTATACCTCTTACTGTGTTTATACAAAATGACTAGAAATATTATTAAGAAGCAAATTTAATATGATTGCTTAAATGGATCACCAGTAAAGGAAAGGAGAAAGCAATATGCTCCTAGATAGTATGCCACCCTTGGGCAGGTCATTTTCATTTCATTTCATCATCCTGTTTTCGTCGATTGCCTCGAGCAGGCCCGAGTAACGTCTCTTTCATCCTAGCCCTGAGATTATATTCAAGGCTCTTTAGGAGAATGAGACCCATCATTGTTACTGGTATTTGGCATATTTGGTATGCCACAGGGAGTTTGCCAGACTCTGCCCTGTGGGCAGGCTACATTCGGTAGCCTGCCAGTTTGTCCAAAGTAGGAATGAGATAATAAGATGTCATAAAAAGATGTCCTGATAAGATGTCGCGCGGTTCCGGGAGCTGGATTTTATAGTCTTTGAGTCTTGATGGGATTACACGGCAGGTCTCCTAGAAGAATTTCTCCTGAAGGAAGCACTTTATATCTGTTCATGTCTATGTGGGCTGGAGCGATAGCACAGCGGTAGGGCGTTTGCCTTGCACGCAGCCAACATGGCCGACCTGAGTTCGATTCCTCTGCCCCTCTTGGAGAGCCCGGCAAGCTACTGAGAGTATCTCGCCCGCACGGCAAAGCCTGGCAAGCTACCCGTGGCGTATTCGATATGCCAAACACAGTAACAACAAAGTCTCACAATTGAGACCTGCTCGAGCAAATCAATGAACAATGGGAGGACAGTGACAGTGACATGTCTATGATAATGTTAATCCACACCTATTTGTAATTGCTCTCCTGCAAACCTCACAATTTCTCTATAATTATTATAATAATCCTGACTGATCTGAATAAAGTCACCACTGGCTTCCAGCCTGAAGACCCATTCCTTCGTCAATGGGAGACAAAGACAGACAGACAGACACTCAAACAGAGAGCTATTGGTCCTGAATTCACTAGGAAGCCTGGGTCACCATGAGACGATTATCAGACAATCATCACCAACAGAATTTTCCCAATGATTAAATGATATTCAGTGGCATGGTAATTAAGGACAAGATTACCCTTCTAGAAAAACAAGCTAAAACCTAATTCACTAATATCCATAGTCTGGGGCATAGGCAATGGGAATTTTCTCAGAATTCTAATCACTGTACACTTACCAGTATTATTCCTTGCTTGGATCTGACCTGATAAAACTAAGAGTTTGAGAAAGCAATCCCTCTAAGGCAGGCTTTCCCAAAGTTTTCATCTTTATAGAGTTGTTACTGCCTATGGGGCGGAGCGATAGCACAGTGGGTAAGGCGTTTGCTTTGCATGCAGCCAACCTGGATTTGATTTCTCTGTCCCTCTCAGAGAGCCCGGCAAGCTACCAAGAGTATCCCGCCCACACGGCAGAGCCTGGCAAGCTCCCCGTAGTGTATTTGATATGCCAAAACCAGTAACAAGTCTCACAATGGAGACATTAATGGTGCCCGCTCGAGCAAATCTATGAACAACGAGAGGACAGTGCTACAGTGCTACTGCTTTGATTGGCCAAATTTAACTTGTGTCACATGTTAGTGAAAGTCTTAGTGAACCAAGAATATATGACTAGATGACAGAAGATATTCTCTGGTGTACAGGTCTATCATTTTAAATGAGCACCGAGTTACAGGTACAGGTGATATACACAAAATAACTGAGCCAGAACAAGAAAAATTCCAGCTTGCTCAACTCCTGTACTGAGGTTCCTTCCAGTTCTATAATAACAGTAAGCTCAATTCAGGAAATTAACAACTTAGTCCCAAGAACCCAGGTGGAAATAAAAGAAAAGCAGAAAAATCAGATTATTTAGGGTGCTTGCCTTGCATGCAGCCAACCTAGGTTCGATTCCTGGCATCCCACATAGTTTTCCAAACCTGCCAGAAGTAATTTTTGAGTGCAAAGCCTGGAGTAAGCCCTGAGCTTCACCGGGTGTGACCCCAACATTTTTTTAAAAAGAAATATTTAATAAAAATACCATGTGTTCCCTTTCCTGACTTCACAGGACTTTTAATGTGTCTACCAACATTTGCTTCTAAGTAATGTAAAAGATAAAAAGAGCTGGTCAGTTCCTAGAAAGTAGAAAACACATGAGACTTAAGAGGCAGCAAAAGAGACTTGTCCCAAAATCTGTCAATCTGGTCACATTTTACAAATATCTCACATATATATAATCTTGTAGATCATTTAACTGCCTTGCAATTTAAAAAACAGAACCACACCTAGCAGTACTGGGGGCCACAAAGGCCAAATCCAGCAGTCTTTAATGGTCAAAATAAGTGTTTAAGGATCAGTAGAACTTAAAGGTCAAAAATGCAGTGCTGAGGATCAAACTGGCACCCCATATGGCTCCTCAAGTCCCACCAGGAGAGTTCCCTAACCACAGAGCCAGGAGTACACCCTAAGCAACATGGGTAGGGCCCAAAAACCAAACAAACAAAAAATGTTACATGATTCTCTAACCTCTGATGCCTGCAAATATTTTTGTATGGTCTTTGTGTCTATATGTACATGTGGTGCTGGGGAATCAAACCCAGGCCTCCCACATACAGAGGACATGATCTACATCTCTGGCCCACGTTTATCATTTTTATAATAAAAATAGAACTAAACATCATTTCATTAAAAATACAGAATTCTTTTTTTTTTCTTTTGAGAATGGGTCATGTTGTCTTGATTTTTTTTAAATTTAATTATTTTTTTTATTAGTGAAACACCATGAGGTACAGTTGTAGACTTACAAACTTTCGTGCTTGGGTTTCAGTTACACAATGATCAAGTGCCCATCCCTCCATCAGTGTCCATTCTCCACGACCAATGAACCCAGTAGACCTCCCACCCCTCCAATACTGAATTCTTTAAGATCCAGAAAAAAAAACCTGCAGATGACCAAGTACAGAGTAAGTATTAACATGGGGACAGTTTCAGTTTGGAATTTAAAAAGTTCTATAATTAAAGTGATAGCTGTAAATATGTATGCAGGAGGCTCAAGTTCAATTCAATTGCTGTTACCACAAGGTCCCCCAAGAACCACCAGGAGAGAGACCCCATAGCAGGGTCAAGAGTTGGCCCGCAAGCACTTGAGAGTGTGGACCCAAAATTAAAATCAAAACCAAAATAAGCAAGTGTACTTATGCTAATGAACTAACTATACGCTTAAAAAAATGACTGAAAGGCTAAATTTTTAACTTATGTATCATGTATTATTTTACAATAGAAAAAAGGCAAAAAAGACACATGGCATACTTACACATTTAAATCATAGTAATTCTTCAAATGAATTATTTCTTCTACATACCCATTTGCTACATCTGGAAATCTTGCTTCCTGGAAATAAATAAAAATATTATTTAAATTTCAGTCACCAAAGAATAGTTTCAAATTGCAATAAATACAAAATGACAAAAAGTATACAAAATGAGCTATACATGTGTCTGGGTTAAAATTCAACACAAGAATTTATCTATCTACACAAAGCATGACTACACAGAATATGGAATCTTCTAGATTCCATAGGGTCTCTAGAGGGTCAGAGAGATGGTAAACCAGATAAGGTGCTTGCCTTGCACAGGGATGACCAGTGATGCATTCAGTTCCATGAGCCTCACTAGGAGTAATCCCTGAGTGCAAAGCCAGGAGTGAACCCTGAGCATATTAAGATGTGGTTCAAAAAAACCAGAAAGGTCCCTAGAGATCATCTGGATTCTGGGCCTGTTTGCATGTTCACTCTTCATTCTTGCAGCAAGATACAGAATCTAACTCTGTCCAGCAAAGAAATCCAAAGATAGGGGCTGGAGCAATAGCACAGCAGGTAGGGTGTTTGCCTTGCATGCAGCCAACCCAGTTTCAATTCCCAGCATCCCATACAGTCCCCTGAGCACTGCCAGGAGTAATTCCTGAGTGCAGAGCCAGAAGTAACCCCTGTGCATCGCCGGGTGTGACCTCCCCCTTAAAAAATGGAAAATGAAAAAAAAAAAAAGAAATCCAAAGGTAAACAAAACACATTCTAGTCCCTATCCTTAAGATTTTCCACAGTTTAAAAAAGAAAAAAAACTTGTTTAGGGACCAAAGCGATAATACAGCGGGTAGGGAAATTTACCTTGTAGGCAGTTGACCAGGGATTGGCATCTCATAAGGTTCTTTGAGTACTACCAGGAGTAATTCCTGAATGCAGAGCCAAGAGTAATCCCAGAACATTGCCAGGTGTGATCCCAAAATTAGGCACACACAAAAAAAAAAAAGAAAGAAAAAGAAACTTGTTTAAAAAAAAAAAAAAGGAGGGGCCAGAGCAATAGTACAACGTGGAAGGCACTTGTCTTGCATGCAGCTGACCCAGGTTCGATCCCTGACATTCCATATGGTCCTCCCAGCACAGCCAGGAGTAACTCCTGAATGGAAAGCCAGGAATAACCCCTGAGCACTGCCGGGTGTGACCCGAAAATGAAAAATGAAAAGTAAATTTAAAGACAAGCAGCAGCTGAGTCAGGACATAAAGCTCTGCTTTGCTTTGCACCATAATGAAAATGTCCTATCCTCTGCTTTCTAGTATGACAGCCATTGAGTGCCATATGGCAACTGAAGCTAAAAAGTGACTGGAAACAGAATTTTAAGTTTTATTCAACTGTAAGAAAATAGCTACCAAAGACAATAGGCTTTAGGTAATCCCAGAAACTTTTTCCCCCTTCAATTATTCTGTTCCCTTACGGAATTTTATTTTTATTGACTGAGGTTCTGTGATTTCACAATACTGTTATGACAAAACAGTATGAGCTAAAGTATGTGTATATTTTGATTTGGGGGCCACAGCCAGTGGTGCTTGGGGCTATTCCTGGCTCTGCTCAGGAGTGATATCTGGTGGTTTTGGAGGGCCATGTGGGGTGCTGGGAATTCAAACTGGGGTACACATTCAAGGCCACACCCAGCTATGAAAACAATTTACTCCTGACTGTGTTCTAATATGTAAAGGACTTTCTATGGACCTAGTTCTATCCTAAAGGAATAAGTCATTTTGATTAAGATCTCATTATTTTTGGTCCAGGTGCAGAGAGATAGCACAGCATTAGGGCATTTGCCTTGCACGTGGCCAACTTGGCCAACCTGAGTTCGATTCCTCTGCACCTCTTGGAGGAACCTCTGGCAAGCTACCAAGAGTATCTCACCCACACCGCAAAGCCTGGCAAGTTACCGGTGACGTATTCGATATGCCAAACACAGTAACAACAAGTCTCACAACGGAGACGTTACTGGGCCCGCTCGAGCAAATCGATGAACAACGGGAGGACGGTGCTACAGTGACAGTTATGACAAAACTAAGGAATGCTTCACAAATTTGCATGTCACCTTTGCACAGTGGCCATGCTTATCTTCTCCATACTGTTCCAATTGCTGCCAAAGGAAGCACAATCTTAAAATTTTTAAGAATCTGAAGCTAGAGCAAGTTTTATTTATTCCCCCCCCCCCCCCCCCCCGTTTTGGTTTTTGGACTACACACCTGGTGATGCACCAGGATTATTGCTGGCTCTGCACTAAGGAATTACTCTTCTGGCACTGAGGGACTAAATGAGATGCCAGTATTGAACCAGCATCAGCCATGTTCAAGGCTGCTATATGAGCTCTCTGGTCCCTAACAACTAGGGAAATTACTCCTGTAACAGCACTAGGGAACCCACAATCTGCATGGTGGTGCATTCCAGAAGATTTTCTGTAGCTGAGGTGGGAAGGATATTAAGGATAGATTAAGGAACCCTGACCTAATTTCTGGGTTTTTCATTTATTTTTTCTGGGCCACATATGGTGATACTCAGGTCTTACTCCTGGCACTCAGGTCTTACTCCTGGCACTCAGGGATCACTCCTGGCAAGCTTGGGGACCCATATGGGGTGCTGGGAATCTAACTGGGGTTGGCCACATGCAAGGGAAGCAAACTACCCACTGTATTATTGTTCCAGCCCTTCTAATTTTTATGTTTTTTTCCCCGTTTATAGATTTATAATGTCATTAGAAAAATGTTCATACACATCCTTTTATGAAATAAAAGAAACTGTTTAAGTGCCTATATTATTTACGAAACAAAACTTACTGTTTCTTTCACTAATAGTGCAACAAGTTCTTGATCTACTGTAGGAGCTTCTTGGCCCCAAAAATTTTTCAAATTGGGTTCCTGAGATCTCTGAATTGGGAAGGCTGGTCCTGGCACTTCATCATCTATTGCTAATTGCTGGTCTTCAAGTTCTTCAAGAGGATGGGCTGGATGAGGGGAAGAGGGACGGGAAATTCTATCCTGCTGAGGTTCTGGTTGTCGAAAAGCTGGCCTTGGAAAAGTTGATCCTGGAGGTTCATGTTTGTACAACAATGGGCCCAAATCCACTTCAGGCTGCCGTTCCTGAGGAACAACCTGGTTTGTTATCTCCTGAGGCTTTTGATTTAGCGACTGTAAGTAAGGGGGATCTAACCAGTAGTCTTCCTCGATGGCCTGATCATCTATAACAGCAGTTGGTTCTCCAAGGTTTGATAAAAGTTCTGACTCTGAGTCTTCAGATGACTGATTCTGAATTTCCAAAGTGTCGCTATCTGGGAAAAGGTTACTTTCTTCCAAGATAATGATTTTCTGCTCTGATCTAGGGTTGACAATGTCACTTGCTGCTTGGTTCTGGCTGGGTCCAGGCTTGGGTTCTCTTTCAGCTTGACTATTTGGCTTAATTAATTCAGAAACTGCAGAAGTCCCAAGATCCAGAAATGTACCGTATTCATCCTCAGAATCATCCTGTGCCCCAGAATTAAACAATGAGCTGTTATACATTGAAAAATAGCCGTTCTTATCTGATTCAAATGCTGCTCTAGACTTTTTAGGCCTTTCTTCTCCCAATCTTTTGAGATCTTGCCACTGGGCAGCTGGTTTGATGGGATTGGGTCTTGGTGTCTGAGGTTTATTTGTCTAAGAAAAAATAAAATTTTAGTAATAATTCAATTTCTCTCTTTTCTACATCTATGTCTCCTTAGGTACTATTGAACTGAGTTTCTGATATAGGACAGGAAAAAAAACCAAAGCCCAAAATACCATCCCCTACAAAACCTATTCTTCATATTATCCTTGAAGCCTGAGCTTATCTGAATTATAATTTCACTTGTGAGGCTACTGAAACTAAAAATTACCACAGAGAAGAGAAGAGTGAAAAGAATAATAGCACAGTAAATAAAAAAGCTTAAGAAACATGAAAATAATTCAAAAGCTTGTTGGTATTCAACAAAAAACATTATGTTCATGGAAATAAAAGATTATATTGGAAAGGGGAGATTAGTGAAGTAGGAAGAGGATAGAGGAAAGTGTAAGAGTCAGTCAAGTCCCATCAGTGACATCTCGTCTCTCTGGCAAGTATAATTTTAGTTACAGGTGGTTTTAGTCCTCCAGTAACAGGAAGTGTGGGCCCAGTCTGGGTGGATGCTACACGAGTCAGAAAGATGTCAACAATTACCCCACCAAGAAAACCTAGTGCTATCATCTGGAAACCAGTGTAAATATTAAGACCTGGGCTAGACAGACAGTACAGTGGGAGGGTGCTTGCCTTGCACATCAATCCCTGGCACCATATGATACCCCAGCACCTCCAGGAATGATCCCAGGAATGAGGATGTAAGCTGTAAGGGTGACAACAGATGGGTGTGGACCCAAAACAAACAAAAAATAAATAAAAAGATTACACTGATCATTTCAGGAGACTAAAAACAAAAAAAAGAATTAAATAGAAATTCCAGAATGAAAAATAAAATTTAGGAATCAATGTATGGGATTTTAAATAAACATAACTGAAGAGAAATTAGTGAATTGTAATATCAAAGGAAAATATCTAAAGTAAAGCAGAATACAAAATAATTAAAAATTAGGTGAGAGTATGTAAAGACAATGAATACAAGAAAATAGTTTAATTATGTAACTGAAGTTCTTGAAAAAAATACAAATATTCAAGGACTGAGATTTTATTTCAGTTTTGACATGAAAAATTAGATGAGGAGCTAAAGCATAATACAGTGGGTAGGGCATTTGCCTTGCATGCTTCCAACCCAGGTTTGATCCCTGGCACCCATTTGATCCTCCCAGCACTGCCAGGACTGACCTAGTCAATGAGTGTGAGGCTGGAGTGATAGTACAGCTCAGGTAGGGTGTTTGCCATGCACGTGGATTCCCCAGGTTTGATCCTTGACCCGGGTTTGATCCTCAGCATCCCATATAGTCCCCTGAGCAAGTGCACCACAGGAGTAATTCCTGAGTGCAGAGCCATGTGTGCCGGCTCCCCCCCCCCCAAAAAAAAAATCCTGATCTGAGTGTATAGCCAGGAATAAGCCTGGAACAGTGTCAGGTGTGGCACAAAAACAAAACAAAACAAAACACACACAAAAAAAAGTAAATAAAATGTAAAAGATCCCAAACAAAGGCAACCTAGGTATAACATAGCAAGTCTGCGCAAACTCAACCAGGGCAAGAGAGCACAGCAGGTAGAGCATTTGCCTTGCACACAGCCAACTCGAGTTCAATTCCTGGCACCTCTATGGTCCCCGAAGCTCTGTGAGGAGTGATCTCTGAGCAGAGAGCCAGAAGTAACCCCTCAGTGCCATGAGCTGCAGCACTAAAGGAGGATGTGGGGGTGGAGCAGCAGGAACTTACTAAAAACGGTTAAGAACTACAATGAAGTAAACTCAAAATGCTCTGGTTGAGGACTGTAATGAAAATTAGTTTAAATGAAAAGATAAGCTGATTCTTGCTTAGAAAGGGTGAACAGAGAGTAATGATTATAGCAGCATGAACTGGACAGGAGTGGTCCGAGTAGTGCACACAGGGCTAAGTCCAGAAATGGACAGAAACAGAGGGTGAGAAAGATGCTGTTCTAATTTAGAAATAGAAAGCGCGCACAAACAAATATCCCAACTTATTCATGAACAAAGCCCCAATAACCGCCTCAGAGAAGCTGAGGAATCCAGACCACTAACTTGCAGTCAGGCTTCACCATGGTACTTTAAGAATACTCACTTCTGTCAGGATAACATCATCATCCAGGTCATCATCATCGTGTTGCTGAGCAGCTGGGGTGACCAGCATTGGAACCCCTTCCTCATCAGAGGAGTCAGATATGGTGATGGGTCCATCTCTGACATTGATCCAGTCTAAAAGGAAGCAAAGAACACTGTTACCAAAGCTGGAATGATCACATTCAGTTCCTTAATTCAAGGGCTGGAGAGAGAGCACAGTGGGTAGTTGGCGAACCCAGATTCAATCCCTACCATCCTATATGGTCCCTGGAGCCCACCAGGAGTGAATCCTGAGTAAGCCCTGAGCACCAGTGGGTATGGACAAAAAACTAATAGTAATAAAAATCCCTTAATTTGACCTGCATAACATAGTCAAGCCTCAAGTCAAGCTCAGGGCTTGGAATTATCTCCTCCATCTAGCACATGTGCACTTGTAGTAAGTCATGCTTCCAGGGAGCCGAAGAGATAGTACAGTGGGTAGGGAACCTGCCCTGCATGTGGCTTACAGGGTTTGATCCCCAGTATCCCATATGGTCTCCCAATCCCCGTCAGGAGGGATCCCTGAGTACAGGGCCAGGAGCAAACCCTGAAAACCTGAGAGTATGGCCCCCAAACCAAGACAAAAACCATGTTTTGGGCTAGAGCAATAGTACAGTGGGGCATCTGCCTTGCACATGGCGAGCCTGGATTCGATCCTGGCATCTCATAAGGTCCCTGAGCACCGCTAGAAGTAATTCGAGTGCAGAACCAGGGGGTAATCTCTGAGCATCAGCAGTGTGAGCCAAAAAAGTAAAACAAAAAAAAAAAAACATGTTTCTGGACTGTTCAATAATAAATTTTGGAAATAACTAGATGAGAAGACACTCTAATTTTTCCTCACTCTATACTGAGAAATTCTGCCCATTTCTTAAAAATGGAATCACAGGGCCATAGTGATAGCACAGCAGGTGCTTGCTTGCATGTAGCAGACCCCCATGACCCCCAGAGCAATGCCTGGAGTGATTTCTGAATGGAGAGCCAGAGGTCAGCCCTGAGCATTGCTGGGTGTGGCCCCAAGCAAAACAAAACAAAACAAAAAGGGCCAAGAGATAATACAATGAGGAGGGCACTTGCCTTGCAGGTGGCTGACCAGGGTTCAGTCCCAGGCATCATGTATGGGTCCCCAAGCCCCCCCAGGAGAGATCCCAGGACTACTGACTACCAAAAACAAACAAAAAGAAACCTACAATCTCACAGTAAAATCCAATTATTAACAAGAAACTCAACACAAAACTTAAACATTAGCTTTAACTTTATTTTTTTTGGGGGGGGCAGGGGACAGTGTTAGCCAAACACAGTGGTAATCAGGGGATACTCCTGTGTGTGTTTGGGGGATTATATGCAATGCTAGAGATAGAACTGCCGTCAGCCACATGCAAGGCAAGCACCTTACCCTTTATACTATCTATCTGGTTCCCAAGCTTTAACATTACCTTCCTCCCAAACTTAAAAGTGAAATAGAACCAAGTCTACAAATAAAGGACTTAACTCCATGTGTGTGTATTTATATATATATTTATTTTATATATATATGTATATATAAATCCATCACCAAGGTCAGTAAATACATTTCTAGCACACTAGTAGCCTTTTTACTCCAGACTAGTTTTGCTTATTTCTGAGTACACAATCTGTTGCAAATTTTTTTATAAGTAGCTTATAAGAAAGACCCTGATGTCTCAATGCTGTTACATATTTGCTGTATGTAATCCACTCTGTGAATATATCTGTGAATATATCAAAAATAGTCGTGGACAGACATGCAGTTTGGTTCTACTCTGGACAATTACGTAATGTTATTATAAAGAAGAAATCCCTGCACAGGTCTCTATGTGAGCTTATTTCAATTAGATACACTCTAAGGGTGAATGTTGAATTACAAGGAAAGGCAAGTTAATTTTCTTTATTTTTTCTTTTTTGGGTCACACCGGACGATGCACACGGGTTACTCCTGGCTCATGCACTCAGGAATCACCCCTGGCAGTGCTCGGGGGACCATATGGGATGCTGGGAATCAAACCTGGGTTAGCCGCGTGCAAGGCAAACACCCTACTCGCTGTGCTTTCGCTTCATCTCCACATTCATTTTATTTTTATTATTTATTTATTTATTTATTAGCTTTTTGGGTCACACCTGGCAATGCTTAGGAGTTAGTCTTGGCTCTACACTATGCCCCGGATAAGGATCAAACCCGGGTCAACAGCGTGCAAGGCAAATGCCCTTCCTGGTATACTATCACTCCAGCCCCAGGCATGTTCATTTTAGTAGATAAAATGCTAAAAAAATTTTAAAATTATGTGTGCTAATTTACATAATCCCCAGCAGTGCGGGATAGTAGTGTTACTTCACATCCCTACTAGAATACAGCCATACTTATTCTTTTACGTATTATCTACAGCTGTTTCATGCTACAGTAGAACTGTAATGAGACTACATAAGCTGCAAGGTTAACACAGTGAATATCTGAGTTGTAAGGGGTGCTGAGCCCTGATTTAGATCATTAAATTCCCAGTTTTATGTACTAAATACATTTCAGACAAAAGTGACCCAAAAACCAAAAGTTAAAAAAATTTAACTTTTGTTTTTTGGGTCACACCCGGTGATGCACAGGGGTTACTCCTGGCTCATGCACTAAAGAATTGCTCCTGGTGGTGTTCAGGGGACCACATGGGATGCTGGGAATCGAACCCGGATTGGCCATGTGCAAGGCAAATGCCCTACACACTGTGCTATCGCTCCAGCCCCACATTTTTTTTTGAGTCTTTCTGCCTTTTATTTTTATTTTTTTCATTTTTTATAATTTCATTTGTTGAATCACCGTGAGAGCAGTTACAAAGCTTTCGGGTTTTTTTTTTTTTTCTTTTTGGGTGACACCTGGCGATACACAGGGGTTACTGCTGGTTCATGCACTCAGGAATTGCTCCTGGCAGTGACTCGGGGGGCCATATGGGATGCTGGGAGTCAAACCCAGGTCAGCTGCATGCAAGGCAAATGCCCTCCCCACTGTGCTATCGCTCCAGTCCCCAGCTTTCAGGTTTAAGTCTCAGTCATACAACGAAACACCCGTACCTTTACCAGTGCCCATTTTCCACCACCAAAAACCCCAGTGTACCTCCAATCCCATACCCTTCCCCTACCTGTGGAGCAGATGATTTCCACATTACTCTCTCTCTACTTTGATCACATTCAATATCTTGACACCAGACCCACCATTATTATTTGGAATTTTACCCCAACACTGAGATCTGCTGAAAAGCTAACAGTAGACAATTTGTTTTCTATTGCTGTTTAGGAATAACACATGATGTTGCGTGGCTGCGGTAGTGGCCGCGCGATTTTGAAATTCCGAAATTTTAACACTTAAATCTGGAGGGATTTCTGCCAAAACCTGCTGAGTCTCTGGGATCATGGCCATTAACTGCTCTCATGGTGATTCAATAAAAAACAAATAAAAACAAATAAATAAATACCATAAGGTCAGAGAGTCAAGCAAGTATGGCAACTGCCTTGCATGCAATTAACCTGGGTTCACTCCCTAGCATCCCATATGTGCCCTGTGTGCTCCAGTAGTGATCTGTGAGCATAGAGCCCAGAGTATGTCCTGAGCAGTCAGATGTGCACCGCCTTCCCCCAAGAAACAGAGCTAACAAGGCATAAAGGAATCTATCTGGGTTAAAAAAAAAAAAAAAGGTTTGGGACTGGGGAAATGCCTCCCTGAAAGTAGCTGATCAGGGTTCAATTCCTGGCACCCCATATGGTCCCCAGAACACTACCAGGAGTGATTCTTGAGCACAGAGCCAAGAATAACTCCAGAGCATTGCCAGGTTTGGCCCCCAAACTGAAAATAAATAATAAGGTTCTATTTCATAATTAGGGTGATACACACACACGGGTATATTCATTTTTTAAACTTGGTAATAGGGTCAAGGTGATAGCTCAAGGGGCTATAGTGCATGCTTTGCATGAAGGAAGTTCAGGTTCAATTTCTAGCACCACATGCTCCCCTGAATAATGTCAAGAGAGATTCATGAGCACTGACTCACGAATAACCCAACCACTGCAGGGCATGGCCTAAAAAAAAAAAATCCTCAGGATCAGCACAAAATAAACCAAGATTTGTCTAATAAAAAGCATACTACCAGGGCCGAGAGCAATAGTACAGCAGGTTGGGTGTTCTGCAAGCAGCTGATCTGAGTACGATCCCCAGCATCCCGTATGGTCCCCTGAGCACTGCCAGGGGTGATTCCTGAGTGCAGAGCCAGGAGTAACCCCTGAGCATCACTAGGTATGACCCAAAAAGACCAAAACAAACAAACAAACAAAAAGCTCCATAATACCAAAGCCAGTATTCCTCAAAGGGAAGTAATTGTTTAAGAAATTCTGTTTGAGTATATTTAAGACCCAATTAAAAAACAAATGTAACAATAATTTAATATATGTACAGAAATAATCACATATGCAAATTACTGAGATTTAAAACTTTATGAATCACAATAAATTATGGGAACTATCATTATCAAATCAGGTAAAGGTAAAGGTAAAGGCCCTCCCGTTGATCGTCGATTTGCTCGAGCGGGCCCAGTAACGTCTCCATTGGAGACTTTGTTGTTACTGTGTCTGGCATATCCAATACTCTCGGTAGCTTGCCAGGCTCTCCGAGAGGGGCGGAGGAATCGAACTCGAGTCGGCCATGTTGGCCGCTTGTAAGGCGAACGCCCTACTATCTATCACTGTGCTATCACTCCAATCAAATCAGAATAAACTAATAAAAGCAGTATTCCTTACACACTCAAAATCTGCAGGCTTAAGTAATTCTATTTTCCCCAATTTATTTGCTTAATAAAACTTGCTCAATTTTAAGTGCTCTGAAAGATAAATATTTACTTTTTTTTTTAATGTAGGAGTACTGCTATTATTCAGCCATGGATAAGGCTGACTGAATTGGGCATGAACTTCACCTTACATTTTTTTTCTTTTTTATAAATTTATTTATTGAATCACCATGAGAGCAGTTACAGAGCTTTTGGGTTTAAGTCTCACTCATACAATGATGAAACACCCGTCCCTTCACCAGTGCCCATTTTCTACCACCAAAAACCTCAGGAACACCTCCCATCCCACACCCTCCCCCTGCATGTGGGGCAGATGATTTCCACATTACTCTCTCTCTACTTTGATTACATTCAATATTTCAACACTAGACCCACCATCATTATTTGGGATTTTACCCCAACACATCTGCCGAGAAGGCAACATTAGACAATTTGTTTTCTATTGTTGGTTATAAATAACATATGATGTCACGTGGTTGCAGTAGTGGCCACACAATTTTGGAATTCCTAAATCTTAACAATTAAATCTGGAGGAATTTCTACCAAAACCTGCTGAGTTCCAAGATTTGTTCCTGAGTCTCTGGGATCATGGCTGTTTAAGCAGCTTGATCAGGAGCCAGAGAGGCCGTTCAAGGGCGGCGAATCGGGGTCTCATTGGGGTGGGGAGGAAAGGGCCGACTCCACCCCATCCCATGAGGCCCCGCATGTCTCATCACTGCGGGCCCAAACCTGACTGTCCAATGGCCTCTGGAGGATGGTGGTAACTGAGCTGCCAGGGGAAACAGGTCAAGGCACGAAACCTATTCCCACTTGGGGTGGCCCAGCGCCGGTAACCTACTGCGGGGACCAGACGCATTTCTGCCAAAAGCCGCTGGTTTCCAAGATTTGTTTCTGAGTCTCTGGGATCATGGTCATTAAGCAGCTTGATCAGGAGCCAAACAGGCCATTCATGGGCGGTGACTCGGGGTCTCATTAGGGGGAGGAAAGGGCCGGTTCCACCCCCATCCCGTGAGGCCCCATGTGTCTCGTCATTGCAGGCCCAAACCTGACTGTCCAATGGCCTCTGGAGGATGATGGCCACCGAGCTGCTAGGGGAAACAGGCCAAGGCACAAAACCTATTCCCACCTGAGGTGACCTGGCACCATTAACCTACTGTGGGGATCAGACACATTTCTGCCAAAAGCCACTGGATTAATATTTACTTTCTTTCTCTTCATAAGTACCAAATATTATTTACGGGAAAGAAACAAAAATTGAAACTACTTCCACAAAATTTGTACTTGTAAAAAAATAATTTTTTTCCCGTACCTGCATGACCTGGCATGCATTTTCGATGCTGGTCCAGGTATATATGTAAATTGGGTTTAGAGCTGTAGATGTGCCATACTGGCAGAGGATATGGCTTACATGTACAAGATACTGGGTTCAGTCTCTGGCACTGCACAGCCCTCACGCTTTACCCTTCCCTCGGCATCACCAGGGTCAGGTACCCCATACGGGTGTGGCTCCCACAACTAATAGCAACAGGCATCAAAAAAAGTGAATCAGGCTGGAGTGATAGCACAGCGGGTAGGGCGTTTGCCTTGCACGTGGCTGACCCGGGTTTGATTCCCAGCATTCCATATGGTCCCCCGAGCACCACCAGGAGTAATTCCTGAGTGCATGAGTCAGGAGTAGTCCCTGTGCATCATCAGGTGTGACCCCAAAACCAAAAAAAAAAAAAGAGTGAATCATGATTTGAATGAAAATTTCTATGTAGTTAGCAATGTTAAAGAAACACAGACTACCTTACCTTTTTGACTCAATGAATTTCATGATGCTTAAACACTAAAAAAGAATACATATCCTAAACTTTTCCTATCATACTAAATTATATTCTGTCAAAGAAGAAACTGAAAAGACCAACATGTATGAAGGTTACACTTTTGTTTTGGGCCACACCTGGCTGTGCTAAGAGCTTACAACTGGCAGTACTCCTGGGACCAAACATGGTGTTAGGGATTGTTCCTGGGTTCGCCACATGTATGGCCATATGCAAGGCAAGTCCCTCAATAGCTGTACTCTCTGGATCCAGAAAGATATACTTTAGCAGCACCTTTACTGTCTTACATCCGACAGGAGGAACACTCCTTTGCTATTATACAGACTTGTGCTCCTTCTGTATTCCTACCTCTGAAGAGCCTAAGGTTTCACATTCGTAGCTCTTTCTGCTAACTAGTTAGCAAAACTAATTGTGGTTGATGATTTAACTTTTTTTTTTCAGTACTAAGGATGGAACCCAGGATCTCACACACTTGCAAGTCAAGTGGCTCTACCGCTAATGTGCATCCTTAGTCCTTGAGGATTCTTAAGCCTTATTCATGCCAGTAGGTATCATGATTTGACACAATTCTAGTATAACAAACTTCCATTTTCCCTGCTGTTCTAAGGGATTTTATATGGTGTAAATGGGTTCATTTCAAAGAAGACACAACAAAGGAAAAGAGCAATGACAAGGTGAGAACATTTACCTTGCCCTCTGTGGCAGTGAAAGTTGTTCAAGTGAATCACTTCTTCATTGTTGTTTCTCTCTGCCATTTTCAAATGCAGATGTACATAAGTTCTAATACTTAAACATGGCAACTATCTGATCCAAAGGGCCTGAAAATCAAAAAGAAAATGAATATTAAAGAATGAGGGAGGGAGCTGGAGGTAGAGCAGGTAGGGTGTTTGCCTTGCATGCAGCCGACCAGGAAGCCCAGTCAACCTTTGATCCTCAGCACCCCTATGGTCACCCGAGCACCACAGAGCTAGGAGTAACCCCTAAGCATCACTGGGACACTCACACCCCAAAAAAACAAGGGAGTGCTGGGGCCAAAAAGACCACAGAATAGGTAAGGCACCTGCCTGGCACAAAGCCCACACGATTCAATCCCAAGCACTATGTATGGCTTCCTGTGCCTGATCAGGAGTCATCTCTGAGAACAGTGTCAGGAGTAAGTTCTGAGCATAGAAAACGAACCCCCATTCTCCCCCCCACCTCCCACAATAGGGTAAATCAACACAGCTCTTCCCACCTATCAGGTCAAGATACATTCTTAAGTTTAAGGCGAAAGCGCACCATGCAAGACACAGACAATAAAAAGTATTTTTGCCTTAAACACAGCTAACCTGGATTTGATCCCCAGTACCCCATACAGTTCCTCGAGGCCTACTAGGAGTGATCCCTGTGACAGATCCAGAAGTAAGCCCTCAGATATGGCTATAAAATTAAAATACATTAAAGAAAATAAAGTGCCTATTGCACGCTTGTCATGTGACATAAAGGATTTCTGTTATGCATCATGGAGAACACACACAAAAAAAATCTAACAGGAATCTTGCCTCAAAGAATGTCATGTCCTAGTAGTGAGAGAAATTAAGTAAGATATACTACAATATATCACCTTACAATTTATAGCCTTACTTAATATACTATTAAGGTATACTATAATATATATAGCCTTTAATACAATAAAGAAACGACTATTCCAGTTAAAGGAGAAAAGCTGTCAGGGAAGGCTTAGTAAAGTCAGCAGTAGCACTGTAGCACTGTCCTACTGTTCATCGATTTGCTTGAGCGGGCACCAATAACATCTCCATTGTGAGACTTGTAATTTTTTTTTTTTGGAATATTGAATACATCACAGGTAGCTTGCCAGGCTTTGCCGTGTAGGCGGAATACTCTCGGTAGCTTTCCAGGCTCTCCAAGAGGGGTGGAGGAATCAAATCCGGGTCGGCTTTGCTCAAGGCAAATGCCCTACCCGCTATGCGATGGTTCTGGCCCAAAGTCAGCAGTATTTGAGTTAAATTGAAGACTAGGCCAGTTCCAAGATTAGTCTTTAAGACCAGGACCATTTTCATATGGGGATTGTAGGAGCCCAGAGTCAATCAAAAAGCAAAAAGTAGGAAATCTGATTACCCCACCGGTGAGACTGTGCAAAACCTGACATTACAGGGAAATAATATTCCAGCAGTCTTTAGGTGAATGATAAAGCTATTCTGGAGAATTCCTCCAGAACCAAGCACCTCAGTTGGCAATATATCCATCCGGATAAAAAGGCTTAAGTGGTGGGGCTGGAGCAATAGTACAGCAGGCAGGACATTTGCCTTGCACGTGGCCAACCCAGGTTCGATTCCCAGCATCCCATATGGTCCCCTGAGCACCGCCAGGAGTAATTTCTGAATGCATGAGCCAGGAGTAACCCCTGTGCATCACCAGGTATGACCCAAAAAGAAAAACAAAAAGGCTTAAGTGATCCCTTCCCAAGACCCTGACTCACAAATCTGTCATCAACTAGAACCACTATGTTCAGTTTGGGAGTGGTTTGCTATATATCAACAATAACTGAAAGAGAATTATTATTTTCTAATAATGGCAAACAATACAATGCGAGCTTAGGCACACTGTATGTCTAGGAAATTCTAATGCCTAGAAAAATCAACTTAGCTACAAAGTATAGGCCAGACTGTAGAAGATATCTGGTGGCAGGAAACACAGAAAAACCTGGGGAGTCTGAACTAGTGGGGGGCAGGGGAATGGGAGAGGCTGAGTACAAAGTTAGATTTAATGGCACCTTAATTTTGTGTATTTGTTTTGGGTCACACCTGGTATTCCTCAGGGCTTACTACTGGCTCTGCACTCATGAATGACTCCTGGCGGTGCTTGGGGGACCACGTAGGTTGCTAGGGATTGAACTCAGGTCGGCCGTGTGCAAGGCAAGCACGCTACCCACGTACTATTCTTCTAGTCCCTCAACGGCATATTTGTATGTAACTATACATTAGGGCAAGAGGAAAAAGGGGAGTCAGAGTCAACCCAGATAGAGGGTTAGGTGATTGGAGGATGCTAGTGTGATTATGAAAGAATACGCAGATGATATATTATAAACAATAAAATAAAATCCTTGGGTGCTGGAGTCATAGTAAAATTGGTAGGGCATTTGCTTTGCATGTTGTCATCCTGAATTCAATCCCTAAAACTTTATATGGATCTGAAGATGTCAGAAGTGATCCCTGAGCCCAGAGCCAGGATTTAGCCCTGAGCACTGCGGGTAAAGGCCTTCCCGTTGATCATCGATTTGCTCGAGCAGGCCCAGTAACGTCTCCATTGGAGACTTTGTTGTTACTGTGTTTGGCATATCGAATACGTCACGGGGAGTTTGCCAGGCTCTGCCGTGTGGGCGAGATACTCTCGGTAGCTTGCCGGGCTCTCCAAGAGGGGTGGAGGAATCGAACGCGGGTCGGCCATGTTGGCTGCGTGCAAGGTAAACGCCCTACTGCTGTGCTATCGCTCCAGCCCTAGCACTGCGGGTATGGCCCCAAAACAAAACAAAAACAAGAAAATATAATTCATCTTTACTCTGCAGAGCCAAAGAGATACACTACAGGGGCTAAGTCAATTGCCTTGCACAGTCAACCCTAGTTCAATTCCCTTCACTGCCTGTAACTCCCCAGCACTATAAGAGCAACACCGGAAGTGAGTCAGAAGTAAGCCCTGGCACCCCTGTGTGTAGCCACCAAAACAAACAAAACAAAGAATCTTAACCTGCAGAAAAAAATGAAAAAAAAAAAAAAACAAGGTAAAAGAGCACGCATAATTACAGACAAAACCAGTGTGAATTTTCCAGTTATCAATGCCTTTTAACAACTGGAAAGGTTTTAAACCAAAAATTACATTAAACATCTTCAGTGGGTGATGTTAACATATTACACAAACGTTATTTCAGAGAGACCCAAGCCATTGTATGGCAGGGAGGGCACTTGCCTTGCACCTGGGTTCTATCTCCAGCATTCCATATGGTCTCCCAAGCACCGCCAGGAGTGATTCCTGACTGTAGAGACAGCAGAAACCCCTGAGCATCACCAGGTGTGATAGAAAAACAAAACAAAAAAGAAAGGAAAAGAAAAAATTAGTTCAGAAACTGGGACAGAGAAGTAAACATTTCCTCAGCCACAAGGTGGGAGAAATCAATGTTTTCAATGATTTTTTCAAGCCAACTCCTCTGTGAAGTCATGACACTTTGTCTGTCCCTCTCCATCTTCATACTGTCTGCAGTTACCCTCTCTGAAAGCTTTTTCCTTTCAGCCACAAAACTGCTCATGGTAGAACCAAAGTGCTGCTTAGTAGGGTCCCTGCTGGCCTAACAGCCTCACCTGCACCCCTTCCCCACTCATCATGGGGTACCGTCAATGACTCAGTTTCCTGGCATGTCAGCCTCCCTCCTCCGGCTCTCCTCTCACTGGATCATTCACTCATCACTGCCTCTTTTTGACCAAATTAACTCTATCCAACCTTTGGTTCTTTTTAAATGCCTCAGAGAAAAACCTTTTGCAACCAAACCTCCGTTCATTCTCATATCTCACATCTTTCACCAAAAAAAAAAAAAAACTCATATCCATTTAGAAAACTATTATTTATTATCTAGCACCTCGGCTAAAAAGAGTTCCAAGAAGGTAAAGGGCTTGCATGGTATCCATTCCCACAGTCCCACGACTTGGCACACAGCCGGGCACCACGTTGGCTGCGCTGGAAGAGCCCTGTTTTTTGGCGGGGTTGGCATTCTGAACCCGTAGAGGCTCTGCCAGGAGTCACAGCCCCTGTGTGTGTGTGTGTTGGGGGTGGGGGTGGGGGGTAAGAACTACTCGGATAAAAATCTCCACCGCTACAGGACAACCTCAGCAGCACCAGCACCGGAACCTGAACGTCCTCCGGCCCGGTCCAATCCCCATTCCGGGTAGGACCGAGGGGGCCAGCGCGACAACACGGGGGGGGGGGGTGGAGGGAGAGGCGCCTGCACAGGGTCCCCTGAGCCCATCCGGAGTGACTGACTGCTGAGCGCAGAGGCAAAGCGTAACCCTCTCTGAGCATCGCCAGGTGGGGCTCCAAAAACCAAAGAAGTAAATAAAATAAAACATAGGGACGGGGTGGGGGGTTGAGCGCATGTGTCCCCACAGATGCAGCCCAAGACCCTGGGTTCGACCCGAAGCGTAAAATAAAGGATAACATGTCAATGATTAATAATCAATCGACAATGAGAATAGATGCAAAATGCTCAGTGCGGTGCCCGACACTTAGCAGACCCCATTGTGTCTTCCCATTAGGGGCCAAGGGGGGCGGGGGGCTGTTCTGAGTTCACGCCGCCAACCCTAGCGGGACCATTAACTAATGAGGGGCCACGCACAACGGGGGACCGCCCCCCCCCAGGGCTGCACGGGTAGGGCCGGGGTTCTGAAACTGGGTCCCCCGCGAAGCCCCTGCGCCCCCCGCGTCCGGCCCCACTGGCAGCGCCCGCCGCACTCCCCCACCCCTAGTCGCTCGGACCCCAACAACTTTCGGGGCCCGGCGCCGCCCGCCTCAACCAACTTCCTCAAGCGCGATTTGCCCCCGCCCGAGCGGCGACGCGTCCGTCAGGAGCCCGCGGCGCCTTACGCCGCGGAGCCGGACCCAGAAGTTTCTGTGGCGCGGGGCGGGCGGCCCGGGCGAGCGGCCGGGAGTCGCGCCCCTTGAGAAAACGCGTCGCCACCCGCCGCGCGCCTCCAGTCAGGTGCCGCCGGGGCAAGCCGAGCGCTCGCGCCGCCGCCCGGGACCCACCGGCCCGCCGCCGGCCCGCGAAACTTCCCGAGCTGCTGGAGCTGCGGCCCGCCCGCGCCCCCCGGAGTCGCCCGCCGCCCGGGACCCAGGCCCGCGACCCCCGGCTCGTAGCCCCTCACGCCCGCGGCCCCCGCCCCTATACCCCGCACTCCGGGGAGACGCCGCTGCCGCCCGCCGCGACCCCCCGCCTCCCCGGCTCGCCCCTCAGCTGTGCGGCCCTGAGCGCTTGGCCCGGGCGCCTCACCTTCAGCTCCCCAGACGCGGCCGCCGACAGCTCGCCCGCCGCCGCCGCCGCCGAAGCAGCCGCCGCGCTCCTTCCGGCCCTGCCGCGGCGTCACCGCGCGCCTGCGCGCAGCGCCCCCTCCCGACTAGCGACAGGAAGAACCATAGAGGCGCGCCGGGACTAGGGAGGCGGGGCCGCTGGGGCACGCGAGACCATAGAGAGGCCCGCGCCGCGTCCCCGACGGCTCGGGTTCGCCTTTGACCCCCCACCCAGGGGGTCACGGCCGCTGAGAAGGGCATAGGGGCCGGTGGCGCGGGAGATCGCCTGCACGATCACGCTGCAGGAACAGTCAGCATCCACCCACCACAGCTTTTCCGCAGGCTTCCTGTGGGTCAGGCGCTGTATTCGGGACTTGCGGGGCAGCGGGTCCGTCCCTGGTGAAGCCTCAGTTTCACAGGGCGAGTTCGTCACTCCTTAAGGAATTCCACTCGGGGGAGCTGGAGCGATAGCACAGCGGGGAGGGCGTTTGCCTTGCACGCGGCCGACTCGGGTTCGATTCCCAGCATCCCATAGGGTCCTAGCACCTCCAGGAGTGATTCCTGAGTGCAGAGCCAGGAGTAACCCCCTGAGCATCGCCGGATATGACCCAAAAACAAACAAACAAACAAACAAACAAAAATTCACTGGGGGAGGAGGGCCCAAAGCGATAGTGCAGCGGGGAGGGTGTTTGCCTTGCAGGCAGTCTACCTGGGTTTGATCTCTGGCGTGCCATAGACTCCCCCGGGCACCGCCAAGAGGAATTTCTGAGTGCAGAGCCAGGAGTAACCCCTGAGAGGGTGGGCGGGGAGAAATTCACTCAAAGAGACAGAGAGAGATGCCATAGATGGTGGGGGCTGGGGGTGATGGGGAGGGAACCTGGGGACACTGGGGCTGGGAAATTAACACTGGTGGAGGGATGGGTGTTGGAACAGTATCACTGAAATCCAGTCATGAATAGCTTTGTAATGGTCTATCTCACAGTAATTCAATAAAAAAGAAAGAAAAAAACCCTCATTTTCATTGTACTTTATTGAAATAAAACTGGCATAATAATTGAAAAAGTAGAAATTTACTCATGTTAACTCTGGGAAGTCTTGGACAAAGAAGACAGAAAAAGAGTTAGGCTCATGCTTCAGGCCACTCTCTGGGAATGTTTCTCTGGAGGAGACCAGGAGCAGATAGCCGAGTGAGGTCAGGAAGGAGCTCAGAAGGTTGAGGTGGGCAGAGCTGCCCAGTGAGCAAGTCTCTGCCTTGGAATTCCCTCTCTCTGTCTCTCTGAGTGAATTCCACCCTCCCCCCACCCCCTTCCAGGGGTTACTCCTGGCTCTGCACTCAGGAATTACTCCAGGCGGTGCTCAGGGAGTTCTCAGCACAGCACGGCCCCTCAGGCTAAGGCTTGGTCGTGGGGATCCCTCAGGCCACCATGCCAGGCTGAGTCCTCTCACTCTGCAAACACGGCTGCAGCTTCACAACCAAGGGCGCAGTCCCTGGCTGTTGCAACCGCAGTTAACATCAAAGAGAAGGAGAAGGGGAAATGAAAATAAACTGTAATAAAACAACAGATACCTGCGGCCAGAGAGATAATATAGGAGATAAGACCCTAGGCTTAGAGAAGGAAGGGGTCCCTGACTCCAGATGCAGAGCGTGAGTTCAACCCTGTTCCCACTCTCCCAATCCCTGGAGTCCCTTTTGAAACTGGGGTTTCTGCCCTTCCCTCACTCTGGAGCAAGCAGCTGGAAGTTTCGTTAGCTTTTTTGGTTGTTGTTGGGGGAAGCGTGCCCAGCAGTGCTCAGAGCTTCTTCCTGACTTTGTGCTCAGGGATCACTTCTGGTGATGTTCAGGGGATCAAAAGCTGGTGCAGAGGATCAACCTGAAGTCGCTGGTATGCAAGGCAAGGGGCAATCTCCCCAACTTTTTTTTTTGATGGTTTCCACATGTGAAGATAAGTGCTTCTACACTTGAAAATAAGTAAGTGCTCCTGAACTGAGCTACAATTCCCTGCCTACCACTACTTTTCCTATTAAAGTCTTGCTTTTGGCTGGAGCAATAGTACAGCGGGTAGGGGTAAGGTGTTTGCCTTGCCCACAACCAACATGGGTTTAAGCCCCAGCATCCCACATGGTTCCCTGAGCATCACCAGGAGTAACTCCTGAGTGAAGAGCCAGAAGTAACCCCTGAGCATAGCTAGGTGTGACCTGAAAAAGTAAAAAACAAACAAACAAACAAAAAAAACCTTTTGCTTCATCTACCAGGAAAATTGTGTATCAGATCACCAAGTGGGTCTGACTCTGTTTCAAAGAGTGAGTTCATCACTTTTCTGAAAATAATAACATAGGTTCAACTAGCGCCAATCAACCCAGTAAACCGTCAATGACTTTCATAGCACCATTGTGAAGTAGAATGATTTTCACAAGTGGATTTTTATTCACCTATTTTTGATCACTCCATTCATTTGCCTTTGTGTTATAAGGTGCCATATAAAGAAAACTTGTTTGATGCTTGCTAAGGGAGCAAGTTTGGGTGGTGGTTGGGAAGCTGGGGACATTGGTGGAGGGAAGGACACACTGGTGGTGGGTGGGAACCCGGGGATATTGGTAGAAGGAAGGGCACACTGGTGGTGGGATTGGGATTGGAAATGTGAATGCCTGAAACAACCATATTATGAACAACTTTTTAAATAACAGTGTTTTAATAAAAAATTTTTTTAATTCTTGAGTTTCCCTTTTCCCACCCCACTGACACCCCATGTCACCGCTAAGCCCTGCCTCAGGAAGAAGAGCATGAAAGCCCAGTTCAGGAGCGTCATCTTGAAAATGACATCTGGCTGTGGGAGCAGAAAGTCTGAGTGTCTTTCCCCAGGTAACTGTGTCCCTTGGTTGGAAGAGTCAAGCCAACTCTCCCAAGTCCAGTTTAGCTGTGTAATTCTCTTTCGGTCAGGAGCAGGAATGCGCTAACAGTGGAACTTCCCACTAGCAGTGCAGTGACCTGCTGGTGAGCAGAACGCTGTTCAGGATAGTATCTGTTGCAGGACACTCAACCATTCAAATCACAGAATCCAGCTTACCGTTCCTTGTGGGTTTTGTCCACTGTGGGTTTTGTTGCTGGGGAACTGCATGTACAAATTAAATTCAGGACAGGTGTTTAAACTCTGGATAAGAGGAGAATGAAATGACCAGTGTCAGATGGCAAGGGACATTGAGTAGGTTTTTAAGGGAATAATGAAGTTGTGTGTCAGTAAGAGAAGTCTTTCTATTATTACTATCATTACTATTACTCTTAATGTTAAGCAGTGTCAAGACTCTGGAAGGGGCAAAGAGCTCTACCTGCGGGGCACACTGGGTTCCTGGAGGGTTGCACTGTGACCAGTTAGGTGCAAGGCAGAGTCCGGCCTTCTAGCAGTTGGGAACATTCTTCCATCTGCTGACTCACCCCTGCCCGATGCCTCCATCTCACTTTCTGGTTACAATGACTTCCAGTGTGCCCATGACCTATTCAATCATTTACAAGAGTCAAAGCCAAACTGTTAAGAGTTTGTGAATCATTTTTTTTTAATTCCCAGGAACTGTCACCATTGTCATCAGCTGGATCTAGATGAAGAATTGATCACCTGGCTACGGAGGAAATTTTTTCTGAAATCTATCTGCTTTTCAAAGTAGTCATTTCCAGCTATTCTGGCTCAGGGTTCTGTGTGTGTGTGTGTGTGTGTGTGTGTGTATGTGTGTTAATCAATGTTATTGTGGTATAATTTATATGCAGCACACTACATTCAGTTAAGGCACGTTTCTGAATCTTGACAGATCTGTGTGCTCACCTCACTAACACCATGATCAAGAGAGGGATTGAGTCCATTACCCCCAGATAGTCTTCTCTGATGCTCACCCCACCCCAAATGCTGTGCAACCACTTATATGCCGCTGGTGTGGATAAGAGTTGCTCTTTCTGTAGCTTTCCATGAGTGAGCTCAGAAAGCATGTACTCTTGGGTCTGTTTGCTTTGGTACAACTTACTTATTTTTCTAGGGTTGTTCCGTTTGTGTATTAAACCTAACCATTTAGCATCTTAGCCACACCCAACGGTATCAGGCTTACTCCTGGCTCTACGCTCAGGGATCACTCCTGGTGGTGCTAGGGGACCATAGGGGATGTCAGGGATCAAATCTGGGTGAGCTGAGAGCAGGACAAATGCCCTTCAACTCAACTGTAACTCTGGCCCTTTAAACATTTTTTTTTTTTTTTTGCTTTCTTAGGTCACACTCGGACATTGCACAGGGGTTACTCCTGGCTCTGCCCTCAGGAATCACTCCTGGCGGTGCTCGGGGGACCATATGGGATGCTGGGAATCAAACCCGGGTCGTCGCATGCAAGGCAAACGCCCTACCCGCTGTGCTATCACTCCAGCCCCCCCTTTAAACATTTTGAAGAGTAGATTACAGTGACAGTCAATTCATTCTCATTGATGTAGGCAGGTATATAGGGAAAGGCCCTCGGCAATAAAACTTAGGTCAACAGAACTTCTGGGAGGAAAATCCTGAGAATGATTCACCCTGTGGATACAGAAAACAGAACTAGTAAGAACTTCAGCAGACCCTGAGGAAATTGGACCCCTCCCCAGGAAATTCCTCTCCTGGAAAATCCTCGGACCTCTCATTTAATCAGATTGACTTTAGTGATTCAGCCCCAGGAAGACTAGAACTTTTGGATCAAGACAACTCAGGAAGAGCTTTTAAAAGTCTCCGTGAACAAAGGAAGGGCGCACATATGCTGCCCAAGCCCGTGTGCTGCTTGCCCCCACGTGGCCAAGTACATGAGGTACCCAAGCACATGAGTCGCCCGCATCCCCCCTCTTGAGATGTGTACTTTCATGCTTTCAGCTATCTAATGCTGGGGTGTGTGTAGGGGCTCTCTCTGCCCTTGGAGAAGCCCTTGTTCTCTCTTGAGCACGTTACTCTCTCTCTCTTACTTCCTACTCTCTCCCACTTTCCCTCCTTCCCTTCAAAAACCTTCAAATAAAATCTGCTTAGCTTCATTGCATGGGCTGGAGCGATAGCACAGCAAGTAGGGCATTTGCCTTGCACGCAGCCAA